CTCTCTCTCTCTCTCTCTCTCTCTCTCTCTCTCTCTCTCTTCTCTCTCTCTCTCTCTCTCTCTCTCTCTCTCTCTCTCTTCGCCGACTTCGATTTCTTCAGCTTCTCTTGCACAACCCTTCTCTCAGGTCAGCGACGCATGATTGATATATGTTTTAAATCAGAGAAGAAGAGTAAAGTTTTGATCTTTTGTGTTCTGGGCTCTTGTTACTATTTAGGGAACAAGACGAAAGTTTTGATTTTTTGTTTGTTTTGTTTGTTTAAGAGATGATTGATTGATTAAGTCGAGCTGATGAGTGTAATGTTTTGAATCGTAGTTTCTTCAGTGTGGTGATTAAACAATTGGTTTGACTAATCATTTTGGCATTAAATTAAGCGAATCTCTCTGCTGTTTTTATATTGCATATTTGATAGAGACATTGATTTCTTTTCTATTTCTTTTTTCATCACATTTTCCTAATTTGGGAATGGAAAGTTTTCTAATTTGGGCATTGCAGACTGACCAATATCTGTTTCTGGCAAGTATTGCTTGGCCTTATTTGGTCTATTTTGTGAATTCCCTTTTCAGGATCAATATTCTCTGTCTACAAACCGCTATACCATGCCTCTGTTTGAGCTTTTTAGGCTCGCAAATGCTAAGCTTGAGTCTGCTCAAGACAACAACCCTTCTCCGTGAGTCCATTCACTTGTCTATATCTTATTAAGAGACTCTCTAGTTTCAATTTCATCAGTTTCATGTTTTTCTTTTCTTCTGATTGCTGTCTTGGAAAACAGACCTGTGGATGAAGTTGTGGAGCTGGTGTGGGAAAATGGTCAGATTTCAACTCAAAGCCAGTCAAGCAGATCGAGGAACATTCCTCCACCACAAGCTGTTCATCAACCAAACTCTTCGAGAGCTAGAGATACTGGAAATGGCTCAAAGACAACGATGGTGGACGAGATCCCTATGTCAGTACCATCACTAATGACGGGGATGAGTCAAGAAGATGACTTTGTTCCATGGTTGAATCATAACCAATCCCTTGATGGCTATTGCTCTGATTTCTTGCGTGATGTGTCTCCTGTTACTGTCAACGAGCAAGAAAGCGATATGGCTGTAAATCAAACTGTTTTCCCTTTGTTTCAGAGAAGAAACAATGGCAACGAATCAGCTCCCGCTGCTTCTTCCTCGCAGTATAATGGTTTCCAATCACATTCTCTGTATGGAAGTGATAGAGCTAGAGATCCTCCTAGCCAACAAACCAATCCGGATCGGGTGACTCAGACACAAGAGACACTGATCCCTAGTAACAAGCCTAGTTTGGTCAACTTTTCTCATTTCTTACGCCCTGCAACTTTAGTTAAGATTGATAACCCTCATGGCACTAAAGAGAAGAGTCCTCCGAGCCCCCCAAATGTGTTTCAGACCAGAGTTCTTGGAGCTAAAGACTCTGAAGATAAGGTTCTTAATGAGTCTATTGCTTCTGCGACGCCTATGAATAACCAAAAGGCTTGCCTAATGTCAGAGGACTCATGTAGAAAAGACCAAGAGAGTGAAAAGGCGGTTGTATGTTCTTCTGTTGGTTCGGGTAATAGTCTCGATGGCCCATACGAAAGTCCTTCACTTTCTTTAAAGAGAAAGCATTCAGATATTCAAGACATTGACTGTCATAGTGAAGTGAGTTAAACTCATATACATTTGATTTCACATGAATACTCGTTTTTTTGCTGTTATCTTCATTTTTTCCTTTTCAATATTGTTGAGCAGGATGCTGAAGAAGAATCAGGGGATGGAAGAAAAGAAGCAGCGCCATCTCGAACAGGTTTGGGTTCAAAAAGGAGCCGCTCGGCTGAAGTGCATAATCTGTCTGAAAGGGTGAGTGTGTGAAGTCCCCAAAGGATTTTTTCCATTCTCAAACTCAAATAAAGATTGCTCTATTTGGTGGCTAACTGTCTTTAAATTTCAGAGACGGCGTGATAGGATTAACGAGAAGATGCGTGCCCTTCAAGAACTCATTCCAAACTGCAACAAGGTAAGGTTTTTCTCCTTTATCTACTCACATTTGATTTTGTTCTTCAAAGATAAGGAGCATTGGCAAATAAACTTAAGCTTGCATCAAATCGAATGAACTACAATGGTTATGATTGGTGTCAGTATTTACAAAACTGAAAAAAGACAAACCAAACCATACTGTAAACAGGATTGTCCAACTCTAAAAAGCGTAGATTTTTCGTTTCTAATGAGCATTTCTAACTTGAACACATTATATGATTGTAAAGGTGGACAAAGCATCGATGCTAGATGAAGCAATAGAGTATCTCAAGTCGCTCCAACTTCAAGTACAGGTAACACTCCTATTACTCTGTGAATATCCATATTTTATTGTGCAAACTAGTAATCTAAACACAAACATCATCATCATCAGATCATGTCAATGGCGTCTGGTTATTACATGCCACCGGTTATGTTCCCCCCGGGTATGGGGCATTACCCAGCAGCAGCAGCAGCAATGGCAATGGGTATGGGAATGCCCTATGCAATGGGATTGCCTGATTTGAGCCGTGATACTGGTGGCTCCTCAGTCAACCACGGACCACAGTTCCAAGCCTCGGGGGTGCAACAACCAGTGGCAATGGCAAACCCACGTGTCTCTGGTGGTGGTTTCCTTGCTGGTTCTTCAGCGATGGAGATGAAAAAGAGCAGCGAAAATGGTTCGACCAGAGAGTTACCGGGTTCCAAAGATCAAACAAGGACGAATAACAACAATAGTAACTTGAAACCGATTAAGAGAAAACAGGCGTCTTCTGAGCAGTTTTGTGGATCGTCGTGACATAAAGACAAACTTACCGACTGATGTATTATTGTTTTATCTGTATTCTGTAGCATTCAAACAATTCAATTCTAAAAAGGCCAAAACTAAATAAAATTAATTTGTCTTCTTTACAATACTGAAGAGCTTCTTCTTTTTTGGGTGGTTCTGCTGTCCTGTCTCTATAAACCGCTTACACCAAAAAAATCAATATTTTGGGAAGCTAAGGTTTGACGTACTGTGAGGGTCACTACATATATCTTATGGACCTGGCTGGTTAAACAAGCGTGATGGGCTTGGTTTCTTAACCCATTTTGTCAAACAGTACTTTATTTATTTATTTCTTTTTCTTTTTCTATTTTTCCTGGGCTATTGAACTGATATACCGAACCCAAATTTGAAAAATACAGAAAAAGAAAATCATCTACTTTGATAACATGTGTTGGAAGGTTAGGTATATAGAAGACTTATAAGTTATTTAATACGTAATACTGTATATAATTACATATAACATACATGATAATATGATACAGTAAATTTTCAAAAGATGAGTGAGAAAAAAAGAAAGGGAATCGCCGGTTAGGGTTAGGTCAGGGAGGAGTGTACACTGTAGAGCTAGAAAACCAGAGTTGGAGATGTTTACTTCTCATAGGTAGTTTACATCATCATAACTCATAAGTGCTTGTCTAGCAACTATATAGAGATGTTTCTTTTACACAGCAACACAGCCAGCAGAGTTTTAACAATATTTCACCTATCTTGCGTCTCTAACTGATCTGCACTTTCACAAACATGTTTGCACCAAATAAGTTCCAACTTACAATGAACACGTCCTTGTGTAGTTTGATTCGTAGGAGTTATTAAACTCAACTAATATGATAATTTTATTTTTTTTAAACTAGTGGAAAGAGCAGAAGAAAAAAGGGTTTAGACTTTGGTTAGATTTTATATCTTTTCTAATGGAGGTGGATTAGACAACTCTAACTAATTACGGAAAAGAATGTGTTACGTTTCAAGCAATAGAAAACGGACACGTCAAAACAGCCAGGGAGACAAATTGATGAATTACACGAGGTTTAGATTATATATAACTTGGAAGAGAAGAAAATGGTATTAATGTGGCAAAGCAAAAGAAAAGTTAAACATCATTTTGCTTTTGGCCACAACTCGAAGAGATTATGTATGATTATGTCTTTCCTTACCAATTAGATTTGGGCCATATTAGAGAGAAATTCAACCATTACCACCATTCTTTTCTCACTTTTAATCAAACTTGAAATAGTATTTATTTGCCTTCTGTTCTAAGTTTGATCTTAATTATTCTCAACCACAAAAATCGAATTATCAGATTTGGGAAAAGCAAATGATGCAAGCAGTTAGTAAAATTAGTATAAGCATACGTAGATTATATAGACTTCTTCCCGTATAATGCAAATAGATTGTTTTACTAGAATAGTATCATTCAGAAATAAATAAGTCAAATCTAATTAGCATTTAATCCTAATTTATACCAATCGGAAAAGGCAGTTGTAATATTTTATGACAATAACAATTCAAGTTGTAATTGTTGACACAAAAAGATCTTATTAAATTATTTGAACTTATAAATAGCCTCCACCTTTTAATTTAAGCATAATATAATTATTGAAAACATTGTTTTTATTATTTATGAGAGGAAGATTTAGAAGAAACTTAAAAATAAAAAATAATGAAAAGGGACCTTAGTACAAGTGCATGCATGTGCTAATGTTTCCTTGATGATGGGATTAGTGCTAAACGGGCCAATTAAGATGGTATACAAATTGAGGTCACTTCCCTCATTGGGCCCTCTCTCTCTCTCTTTATCCGTGACTTCATCCTCTTAATCTAATTGTATACTCTTCTTACTTTATAGATTAATTAGTCCCTTTCTCTTTGTCTAATTTATAAAATTCTTGTTAACACAAATAAAGCCGAAAAATCTCCCATCAACATCGTTGTTTAACGCGATTAACTTTTTTTAAAAAAAAATTGTGATTAAAAATTATGCACTTCCACAAACCTTTATTGGTTGCATCTTTCGTTAGTCAATATATTTGGTGGTTATATCCGCTAATAGCTTAATCTAGATTTTGGTCTAAAATATCTTAGTTATAGAAACCTAGTGTACATAGTAAACAACAAGATACATTGATGTATCATGTATGTAAGTTCAGATGGAGTCAAGAAAACTAGTAATTATTATAATGTTTTTGCATCACTTGATTTTTAACAAAATACATATCAACAAAAGGTTATTATGTTCTTCAATAATAAGTAAACGAAATCAATTTTGGGATACAAAACCAACATTATATAATCTGATTGTTGGAGCTAGAACTCACTGTCATAACAACTCTTTTCATATATAGTAATCTAGACGCCCCGATTAAGAAAATCCAGAAAAGAAAAACAATGCAGAAATGCAGATTACAAATTCAAAATGTAATGTATTATTATCCATAGTAACGTATGTTGAAACCAAATTAAACCGCCGTCAAATCATATATGTTATTTTCTGAAATCCTTGAAAAAAAATGGGGAACCCGAAGAACATAATAGGGCCTAGATTTAAGAAAAGCTCTGTTTATACTATAAGAGACGACGTGTTAAGTGCACAGCCTCTTCTCCATGTGTTTTGTCGGCGAAGATGTTATGATCCTTGTGAGTTGTAACAATGGCGAACGACAACGACTTTATGATGTTACACTTCCTCACTTCTCTACTTGGACAGAGTTTCAAATCACCTTAGGGAATTAACACACACTGATGATACTTAATTAGCTTTTAAAAAATAAATAAATAAACTGACGAGTGATTGATACTTGGGCTGAGCGAACAGCTCATATGTTCTCATATATATACATAGACTTTTGGTTTTAATAACTGCTACGGTAATACAAAACTACTAGCTATATATGTAAAACTTCTATTGCACTATGACTACTACCTCTATATTAGTTCTCCTAATTTTGATACTACACTTTTTTCTTAGTTATTGGAGAAAAAAGTTACATAGGAAATGCAAAGTGTTTTGATGAGTTTTTAGTTCCCTGAAATAACTTCAAAAGAAAGAAATCAATCTGAGAAGTTTTTAAGAACAAATATATATATATATATATAAAGAGAGGAGATGCATGCTCCTAATCAAAATCAAAATCAAAATCAACGCCTAAAGAAAATCTGAAAGCAGATATGGTGTTTGCAAGCATATAATGGAAGGGGCTGGCGGCGGATATATTCATATGATTATCTTCAAAATCATGAGATGATGAATTGATGAACAAATGATGGGTCTCAATCATGCATGATCCTAATCGAATATGTTCCATTTTTTAGGGTGTTACTAATATTTTATATAGTTGTACGTTGCTCACATAAAATTAAATGTTTTTTTCTTTTCCCATGATATACTCCAAGAACGTGTTGATTGGTATTAGTTTATTGAGCATGATTTTTTTTTTATAAAGAGAAAAATAACTCCAATTGCAAAGTCTTTTCCATATTATAATTATTAGTATTCGGGGCTTCTCTCTCGTAAAATTAATCATTTGGTGAATTATATAACTCGAAGTATCTTTTGACAGCTTTGGTTAGAGATATTATACAATATAATCAACTAGTTAGCTAGACCGATCAATTTTATTTTATTAGTGTTCGATAATGAGACATTTCATGTCGGTTTTGCTTATTTTTATAAGAAAGCTAAAAAAACACATTATTGAACGAGTTTTTTTTTTTTTTTGGGGTTCCTGCATGAACAATGGCATTCATGAACAATATAAATATTCCTTCGTTAAAGGCTTCATGATAATATTCCCGAATTCTGAAAACGAATGAAGAAAATGTAATAAAAATCGATTGACTGCAAATGTTATTAGTATTAATTTACGTTTGCTTTCTTTTCTTTTTGAAGTCTAAAATTGAAATTTATGATTTAAAAAATTAAATAAAATGAAGCTATTTGCACGGTTCTGCGCAGGCGCGCAACACTTGTAGCCACCACCAGTTGCTTCTTCCACATCGTAATGAAGTATCACAAGAGTGAACACAGTCACCAAAGACCCATACCAACAAGCATTCTCCTCAAATCTTCCTCTCTTTTTATTTTCTTGCAATAGTTAAAAAACTTAACATTCTCTTGTTTTTATATCAAAAACAGACTTCTTTTTGTAAAGTAAAAACTTAATTAGTAAAGTTTTTAGATTATAAAAGATAAGTAGTCTTTTTTATTTTTATTCCAAGATATTTTATAAGATAGGGTCCCAAAAAAAAAAAAAAAAGAAATGGATAAAATGGTAAGAGTGTAACGAGAGGCCGACTCTCTAGCTAGATAACGTAAGAAAGCTACAAAATTCAACATGTGAATATTTGAGGGAAAGTTTTAAGTGGATGGACAAAGAATATACCCTCTCTAGCTAGCTCTCTATTATATAATTTTATAAGGCATAAAGAAATTAAAGAAGAAAAAAAAAGATAGAGAAAAAAGACAAAGAGTAAGTAAGTGAGTCAATTTTTTCGAATTTAAAAACGTATAAAGCAAACAAAAGAGACACTAAAATTATTCTCATTCATCTGTAAAAGGAACCATGTTTTTAAAGCAAAATTGCTAAATTCCGTTACGTAGCCATTTAATTCCATTTAATCATTTCTGGAAATATTAACCAATGATGACAATTTCTTGCTGGTTATGAACCTTTCCCATTATTTCCTTTTATCGATGCCTTCATCTTCGCAAATATTTAGTCCTCTTTTAGCATTTGCTTTTAATTCGTTGCAGTAATCTTTCATGACGACAACTACACTACTCATCTTTGTCCTCTTTCTTTTCTACGTACACACACACACACACACACACACACACCAATCTAATCCATATTTTCTCTTATTCTGATTGTTCCGTTCTCACTATATAGCTATAATGATTTTTTGTGTAAACATCTCTCTGGACTGCATGCTCTAGTAAAAATTGATGGTTTTAATTAATTAGGTCCGTGTGACCTATATCTTTGTTTTCACTGTTCGCAGATTATGCTTAGGTTAAAATATTTTTAGAATTGGTCTTCTAATCGTCACATTTGTTTCTTTCATGTTTTCTACTCTTTTTCAGTAACTCGCACATCACAAATATTAGTATGTTACATAATAGGTCAATGTGTTTCGATAGGTTTGAAAAATTTGAGTCATATTCGATGTACCATACTTTTCCATGAATAAACGCATGCATTGACCTATTACGTAACAATACGACCATCTATTTGTGTGTATACCATGACGTATTGACGTACATGGAAAACAACCCGAAATAAAAAATAACTCTAGAAAAAAAGGTACTAAGGCCACGCCGGTTTTGGTTGCGTAGAGTGAGTGGTTCGTAACGTTATCTAGGACAGGCTGAACATGAACGATCATGTCTTCACTACTTAGACTCACACACTTCTAAATCGGCGATTGATTAGAATGAAATTAATATACATATGTCGATCATACTTTAATCGCTGCGTTTAAACGTATGATCACAATGGGTCCATGTAGAGATGACGGATGTGTGATGATGATTAGGGTGATATTAAGGTCAAAACTCACATCTCTTAACCTTAACTTTCTCACCATTGGTTCGAGCCAATCCAACGTGGACCAATCAAGATTGTTTCTACATAACTGATATAAAATTACATACTTTTGCATCTTTTCTCTAAGAAAATTTTACTTTTTAGAAAAAGGACATTTAGTTAGTAAAAGAGAGGAGCATAGAATTCAACAAACAAATCCTTGTGAAGAAAGTGACTTTTCTTAGTTCTATTAATACTCTCTCCCTCTCTCTCTCTGCAGATCTGTTACTTCATTTTCTCTACCTTTTTTTCTTTTAGATTCCATTCATCTTCAAAGGTTTCTTATACATTCTCTCTGCTCAAAACTCTTTTTCTTTTCAATACTTGTAAAGAACAAAAGAGCTTTCTTCTTCTCTTTCATTGTTTACCTTTGCCGCAGCATTGCAGCTTCGATAACTAAATGGGTAGACATTCTTGCTGTTACAAACAAAAGCTGAGAAAAGGGCTTTGGTCTCCTGAAGAAGACGAGAAGCTTCTCAACCACATCACTAATCACGGCCATGGCTGCTGGAGCTCTGTTCCTAAACTCGCTGGTAACGGTCTTCTTCCTTCATTCCCATATTATAAATAAATAAATAAAGCTACTTTTTGTAATAACAAAACTGAGTCTGTTACGCAGGTTTACAGAGATGCGGTAAGAGTTGTAGACTAAGATGGATCAATTACTTGAGACCTGATTTAAAGAGAGGTGCTTTCTCTCCAGAGGAAGAGAATCTCATTGTCGAACTTCACGCTGCCCTCGGAAATAGGTAATTATTAGTTACCAAACATAATGCTGTCAGAGAAAACAGAGGATCATGTTCTTTTGTCCAAAGATTCCTTTTTCTGTTTTTTTTTTTTTTTTGGGAGCTCTCCTCTGTTTTAACTATGTCTTAATAAGGGCTCCTCTGTTTTTCTTGGCTATGCTCTGTTTTTTAATCAGATGGTCACAAATTGCGTCAAGGCTTCCGGGTAGAACCGACAACGAGATCAAGAATCTATGGAACTCAAGCATCAAGAAGAAACTAAAACAGAGAGGTATTGACCCAAACACACACAAACCCATCTCCGAAGTTGAGAGCTTTAGCGACAGAGACAAACCAACAACTACAAGCAACAACAAAAGAATCGGTAACGACCACAAGTCTCCTAGTTCCTCCTCTGCAACTAACCAAGACTTCTTCCTCGAAAGGCCATCTGATTTCTCCGACTTCTTCGGTTTTCAGAAGCTTAACTTCAACTCCAGTCTCGGCCTCTCTGTTACGACTGATTCTTCACTCTGTTCGATGATTCCGCCGCAGTTTAGCTCCGGAAACATGGTTGTTGGCTCTGTCTTTCAGACGCCGGTATGCGTAAAGCCCTCGATTAGTCTCCCCCAGGACAATAGTTCGAGTCCTGTCTCCGGAGGAGAACATGTGAAATCGGCTGCACCAAATTGGGAATTTCAAACAAACAACAACACTGCAAATTTCTTCGACAACGGCGGTTTCTCATGGTCAATCCCAAACTCTTCTTCTACTGTATCTTCACAAGTCAAACCAAATCATAACTTGGAAGAAATAAAATGGTCAGAGTATTTGAACACACCGTTCTTCATAGGGAGCACTGTACAGAGTCAAAGCACTCAACCAATCTACATTAAATCAGAGACAGATTACTTAGCCAGTGTTTCGAACATGACAGATCCTTGGAGCCAAAGCCAAAACGAGAACTTGGTCACAGCTGAAGCTAGTGACGTGTTTTCCAAGGATCTTCAGAGAATGGCAGTCTCTTTTGGTCAGTCCCTTTAGCTTCTTTTTTTTTTTTTTTTCTTAATTCTAACAGATGTAGAGAACAAAAAGATATACAATACATACAATACGTACAGTGGATTTTAAGTGTTCTGTATATTTTCATGGGTAAAAAAAGAAAGAAAAAGCGAGCTGTCTTTATTTCTATGTTTATGTTTGAACTTTGAAGTGTGTTTTATACGTCAAATATTCTTCTTTCTTTTGCAAACCTTTCGGTATCATCATACTATATACTTTTTTTTTTTTGTTTTGTTATCAAGATTTGTGTGTAGTATTATTACTATTGATGAATCATCAGAGAGAGGTCTGTGTTTGCCATTAATCCATCGAAGAACAATGATGAACGTAATAAATCTGTTTCTGTCTATTTCCGTGAACGAATTGTGATCCAAAGTCACATCCTTCACCATTTTTCAGACCTGTAATTAATTAAACGACAAAAGAAAACATTATATTAAAAAACAAAAAATGATAAATAAACTTAAGTGGGATATTAGCTCAGCTAATTAGAAGGGACACCTTTTTTTCTTTTCTTTTCTAAAGAACCAGAGTTTAAATACGTTTTCTCAAACATTATATTAAGGAACAGAGGAGTATTATTTATTTATTTTTATTTTTAACTGTGTTCTTTATGTTTAATCTTCTTGTCTGTCTGTGCTTTTAATAAGAGTCTTGTCAGACAATTGGAATTGTCCCCATTGACCAGAAACTTATGTTTTGGCCGGCATCGGAATATTCTTTCGCCGTTAGAAAAATTAGGAATAGCTCGGGGATTTGACCTTAATAAACGAGAAAGGAAGTGATGTGATGATTTTCATTTTTATTAGTATTCTTTAAGCAAATAAGCTTACTTTATAACACTATCTTTAATATTCCAATCCAAAAACAGCCACCTTTTTATTTATTTTTTACTTTTAGAAATAACCAAACGCAATAACTAGACCGGTAAGTAAAAAAAGATCGAGTATCAAATGTTTGTTTGACTTTAAAGCAACAAAAGCTCAACATATATATATAAAAAGGGGAAATATTTAGAAAATAAAAGTTGTAAAAGGGTGATTTTTTTGTGGTGGTAAACGTGTATATTAGTTATTTACCGACCAAAAGATTAATCATGTTTGAAGGTTTTAAAGGTATCATTATACATGCATTTGCGTTATAATAAGGTTTAGTGGAACGCGAGAACGCATGTGAAACGAATTATTGGTGCTACATTATAAACCAAATAACCAATCATTGTGTTAGCTTTGATTGGCTTATGTTGTTATGTGAGGATGATTAACAGAAACACTTGTCGCGGTTTGTTAGCAATTAAAAAAGAAGATAAATTGTCAGTAACGAAATGAGGGGAAAACAAAATTAGAGAATGTCGTGAAATGAAATCTTTGCCTTTTTTTTTTTTAATCTCCTATGATTTGCTTACTTATTAATATTTAAATTTATATATTTGACGTCGAAAATATACTATATATTTTATAATTATCAAACATCATTCGGAAAATCTGAAAACGTGTCGCGGCACTAGTCACGATGCTGATATAATTAGACAAATAGCATCCTTAATTTTCCGATAGTGAAACTTGGAAGGTTTTAAAGGTTCCCTTGTGCGTAAAGAAATGGAGAAATAACATAGGACGTTAGGTTTTATGACTATATGATTGATAAAGACAATGATACAATGATACATGTATATGTATATTCCAACTCTGCCTTTGTGTCAATTTTAGTTGATTGGGGATGATAAAGTAAAACAAACATTTCATAATGACGGTTTTTGCTAATGTCACAAGGATAATCATATACTGTATATAAAGCCTATGAGCTTTTTCTTTCGAAAAACCAATCTCCAACTGCTACAGCAATCCCCTGTTTTCGTTTTTCCAACAACACAAAGGCACAAGCATTACTTTGTTATGTTCAAATCAATATTTTCAGATTAGTTGTAAAAACTATTAGAGTTTTGTTTGTTCTCACCTTAACTTTACCGGCTCCAGAGTTTCCAGGAAACCAAGCATCTTGTCTCTCCGTTTGACAATGAGCCCATCCCGAGGTAATCAACACTCCATTCTTCCTAAACGTCGAAAAGGTCTTTAGCGCATTTAGCATGCTTGTCGTGAAACCTGAATCACTCGGATATTCCAAGCAAGAAACAATGATGATCTTGATCAGCTATGCATGTTTAGATCAAAGAGTGGTAGGTTTCATGAAAACATGACTATAATTATTACCTTGCAAGAATTGCTTCTGAGAGGGAGTGCACCTGAAGCTGAAGCTGCAGTTATGCCAACTGCCACTCGGATCAGCCGATGGTGGAGCTAAGCTATTCCCGATCTGCAAAGAAACAAGATTTCTTCAAGACAGACCAATGAATTCCTATATATATTTTTTCATCACGGACAAGAATCCGAAAGATAAAAGAGAAGGAATTATAAATAACCTGCCACGCATCAACTCCCGAGTTGAGAATAAACAACGGGGTCTTGACTTGGTTGATTATGTATTGAGGGAAGAGACACTGAGGTATATTCAAAGCAAGTTAAGTTAACGAGGACCCATAGCATCACTATAAACAACATAAACACAAAAATAAAAGAGTTATGAAATACCAAAGCTGGACTGATATGGCTTGTGCAGGTGCGAGGAAGTGTGTTTTGCAAACCCTAGAAGTTGAAAAAATAAAATAACAATTTTTTATTAGCCATCAACGATCTCTCTCTCCCAAACTATATTTACAGCAAAACACGTTATACTCGTACGTACCTGGGTGTTTACAATACCAGAATACATACGCCGTATAGAATGACCTCCAGCTACATCAACGCTTCAGTTACAAACAAGACACAAGTCATACTACCAATCAAACACACTAGTTTTGTCATCAAGAAAAAAAAAACAAATGTGACTAACGCATCGAGGAAGAAGCCAGCATCGCTCATGCATTTAACTTTGGTGGTAGGAGGAAACAAGTTACTGAAATCATCGCATCGTAAAATCGCTGAAAGACCCCCAGCCGAACATCCGTTGAGCAAAGCCTTAATCGAAGGTAGTATGACCAACTTAATTAGGGTTTAATTAAAATAACATATTTAAGTGATTAATTATCAAGTCAAAAACATGTATAAACCTGTTTTGCCTGACGCATTCCCTTCGCCATCAAATCTTCCATGACAGCTAAGAATATACGTTTTCCTCTAAACTGAAGCTGCGCCGCCTGAATTAAAGCATAACCATAGGAACCGAAGTTAATATTCCTAATTATGAAATATTTCAAGATGATCGATCATGTGACAATGATCAAAAGCAAAGAGATATATGTTCATATATAACTTTAATTTTTTTTTTGCAAACCTTGTTTTCGCTATCACCTCCAAAGGATGCGCCATCACAATACCGGACTTTTACTTTGTTCCAGTTGTAAAAATCTTGCAACATTGATTTTGTAACAAAACACTCGATCAATTAATTAACGATTTCACCAACATATATATAATGGATCTTGAGAAGAAACCTGGATTTTCAGCGGCTTTGTTGCTTAGTATTCCTAAAAAGGCTAACTCTTTCTCCATCTTCATAGACGATCCATAACCACTACTCTTACGGTTCTGACAATTTTTTATGCTGTCACACCACGCACCTCCCTTTCAACAAAACTATTAGTTAGCCTTATTCTATTACTATATATTATGGCGCGATATATATTTATACACAAGTCCAAAAAATATACACAAAGTCCTAAGTAATAAGAGCCTAGCTAAAATAAAATTAGAGCCTAGCTAGCTACATATCTTTTAGTGTCAGAACCTGTAACTGAATGATCCAGTTGTTCGCTCCTGAACCATAACCGCGACACAAATGATATCCAGGCACTGACCCATCCAGACACACTGCCACAAGTAAAATAATGTTTCCTTGCGTCATGAAAGTGTCAATCAAGAAACTTTATAGTGCTAAACTATATATATTTCGTTTGCAAAATTACATATTGAAAACAAAATTCTATTGTTAATACTTAATTATAAATTAAAAGCAAAAATCAAAAGCAACACTTTCTATATAGATACATTCTCATTAAACTGATACTATATGTTAATACTGCATATGCGAAATTTGATTTTTATTTTATTTGAATAAATTTATAAGAAAAGAACGTTTTTCAATTCGAATATTTGAAACCTAAACCTCAATTAATTGAATTATGAATGAGAAGAAGATAGTTACCCGCTCCTTTAGAAGCAGCGGCTTGGACAAGAGTGAGTCCTACCATCAGAACATTTGCGTCATTTGTTCCATTGAAATCGTTCAACATGTCCATTTCGTCAAAACCCATTTCCCCATTTGCAAGAATGCTGAAGAGAATGAGTGATCCTGCGAGAGTACTCCAACCCCACAAAAACGTTTTCATTGTTTTCCTCTCAATGAATTTGAACGAAGCGAATATGAAAGTGGTCAGTGATTGTATATATGATCCAAAGAAAAGCATTGACCCAGCTGGTCTTTTATACTATAAACTAGTCATGGTTTTTTATATGGAAACTCAATTATAATGAAGACCAGATTGTGAGAGTGATAATTGCATTAAGTACCCAGTCATAGGAGACATTTAATTATTTGTATATTTTTGTTTCCTTCTAATAAGATAAAGGATTCTATAGATCATGATGAGTCATGATCTTCCCATTCAGAATGTGAATCACAGATTGCATAATTCTAAGATTTACATATTCAAAACATGCTTCTTGACACCTCATTTGATCATTAATTTAAAAAAACTTAAGGTTCTCGTGACTTTATTACCACCTCACCTCATGACTAGGTTTAAATAACTTTGTGACTGCCCTTTTAAACTTAAGTGGTGCAAATAGGGTTTACTAATTTTAGGATTTTATTATTTATTATTCCTTTAATATTCAGACTTATAAATCTCACAATATATATTTCCAATTTTGTTCTTTCACAATTATCTGCAGATCCGAAAGTCATATCTTCAAACATTTTGAAAAATTAGCATAATACAAATAAATAAACAAATGACCTTAAATGACCATGAAAAAGTGGAAAGAATTTTCAGATGCTTGGAAGAATTCAAAAGCTACACGACAAAGATTTAATCAATTTTTTTACCCAAAATAATTTGTTTGATTAGATTAAGCGAATATTAAATTTCCTTGCCAATTATTTGAAGATGAATACAAAGAAAAAATAAATACAAATCATATTACATAATCGTTCTCTCTAAAATCATGTTATATTGTTCACCAAAAAAAAATCATGTTATCTTTGTTTTTTTTTTGTTCTTTAAATCATGTTGGGGCTGAGAGAAACGAAATTTCAAATCAACCTTTTCTCTATAGTCACAAAAACTCTTTTGGAAGTTTAATATTTTCACTATAAATTCAATCAATTCTATTTAAATACATTTCTCACTAATCCTTCTCATATACTAGTATGAGTCATATTATAAAATAAGCAACAAAAACGGCGCCGTGTATAAGCAAGCAATAAAAGAAACTGAAAACGAGATGGATGTGGTGGGTCCCTTCAATGCATACGCGTCATCTTAGATGAAGACTTTAAATACAAAACTAAAGCCCAAAACTATCGATACACCCAACCCATTAAAGACTATGACGGATAAGCTTCACGCGCTTCACAACGCTCGTGTGAAGAAGACTTGACCCTTAAACACGGTCGTTGCATAGAAACGGTGAGGCCACCGAGCGTTAGCCCTGGGCGTTCGGATTTTCGGATCGGATCGGATCGGATTATTCGGAGTTCGGATTTTTCGGATTGGGATATATAGAATCCGATTTGAATCCGACTGGTTTTCGGATCGGATCGGTTCGGATTTTTTCGGATTCGGATCGGTTTTCAAATTTTATTACAAATCCGAGTTTAAACCGAATCATATTTCGGATCGGTTTCGGATTCGGATTCTACACTATAAATCCGAAACTTACACTCTAAATCCGAACAATCCGACGTAAAAAAGAGGTTTGAGCGTTGAAGTACAAAAACATAGAGATTATATGTATACTATGTGATGTATTAGACCATGTGTATTCGGGTTAGCAGATAACCGATCGGATTTCGGTTCGGATCGGTTTAAATCCGAAATCCGAATCATGTTCAACATAAAATCCGATCGGTTTTTACATAGTAACCGAAACCGATCCAAATCGGATTTTTCGGATCGGTTCGGATCGGTTTTTTCGGATCCGGATTATATGCCCAGGGCTACCGAGCGTGTTGATATGATTCTCCCACGATGACCAAATTAGATAGGGAGGCTACAAGTTAGACAAAAAGCTAAATAAATCGAAGCACATTAGCTTTAAATATATACACAGATAAGACAACAGTTATTACCTCGCTGATATACATTTAAACATTTTAGGTAATCATAATCAAACTTTTTGTGTAATAGACATTAGAAATATCAATACCGTGTAATACCAAAACTAGTGTTGTATGAACCATCTCATACTTTTTCAATGGGAAGCCTTGATCCATCCGTTTAGTATTCGTTGACCTTTGACGTTTGTATATATTTTTTTCTTTTATGGCAGAGAGAGAGAACAAGAAGGAGGAGGCATGTTGCTTGCTTTTTCATTCTTCTTCTCAACGAGAAAAGTCAGACTCTCTTCAATTCTTCTCCTTTATAAACAATAATTCTCGACTTGTTACAGTCCCACCACCACTTACCAAACACCATGGCTTCTTCCCCACCTCAAACTCTCCTCCTCCTCCTCGTCGGTCTCACCACCGTCTTCTTCTTCTTCTTCATCTCCGCTTCCGCAGATCCGGACATGCTCCAAGATCTCTGCGTCGCTGATCTCTCCTCCGGTATTTCATCAATAAATAAATCTCTACTTTTTAAAACCATCTTTCCACTTACCTAAAAAAAAGGTAAAGCTTCAATTTTTAGTCTCTTTTCTTTCTTTTTCTTGCAGGAATCAAGATCAATGGCTTTCCTTGTAAAGACGCAGCTACAGTAACATCAGCCGATTTCTTCTCACAAGGTATAGCTAACCCAGGTCTCACTAACAACACATTCGGTGCCTTGGTCACTGGAGCCAACGTTATGACCATCCCTGGACTCAACACACTCGGTGTCTCGCTCGCTCGTATCGACTACGCCCCAGGGGGTTTAAACCCACCTCACACCCACCCACGTGCCACTGAGGTTGTCTTTGTCCTCGAAGGAACTCTCGACGTTGGGTTCCTCACCACCGCCAATAAGCTCATCTCTCAATCTCTCAAGAAAGGAGATGTCTTTGCTTTCCCTAAAGGACTTGTCCATTTCCAGAAGAACAATGGTCGTGTCCCTGCCTCTGTTATTTCAGCTTTCAATAGTCAGCTTCCTGGAACCCAATCCCTTGGTGCTACTTTGTTTGGTTCTACTCCTCCTGTTCCTGACAACATCTTGGCTCAAGCCTTCCAGACATCTTCAGGAACTGTCAAACATATCAAATCCAAGTTCCAACCCAAGAAATGATCTCTTTATATATTCATTACAGTTATTTGTTTTTTTTTTACCGGTTCTGTTTGATAAAGGAAAGATCTTTTTATTCCACTTTGATTTGTCTTCTGTAATAATCCAATAACTTATGATCTTTCACAGTGCATTTTGAGCTCCATTGTCTCATGTATTCTTATCTTTTATATAATCCAATTTTGTTAGTTTTGCTTTAAAGTTGACTAAAAACAGGTAGGAAGTCGAGGTTGATCTAATCTAAAAGCTTTCAAATGAGATATGCAAACAGGTAAGCTACCTTGATATAAAATAATCAACTTGAGAGACTCTTGCGTATGGGATTGAATATAAAATTGATTAATTAATTAATAAGATCATACTTCCCCATGTGCATCTTTGTTCAAAACTAAGTGTAATCCATATGGCCAGCTAACTAGATCCCTGTAGAAGGTAGAAGTCTAGTCTCTTCTTTATGGAGTTAAGCTGAAGTTAATTGTTTGTAACCAACAGTTCTTGCAACGTGGTTAAGGACCATATATTACCTGTAAACTCTGGCTTGTTGCCCTAACCACAAGGCATTGACTCTAGCTTCAGCAATTCAGCGCATTAAGCATATCCTCTCTATCATCAAACTGTACTGATGATCACGCAGAGAGACAAGAATAAGTCAGTAAAATCTGAATGGAACCTAACCTTAGGAGGAGATTGTCAGACTATATAGTATTTGTTTGAGACAATGGATTAGCTTATTTCTCATACATCAACTTTTGAATGATACATCATGAAACCAAAACACTCAAGAGGAGATAGATATGCATCCATATATACAGCTTCAGAAAAGAGCTCACAGAAGATGTAAATGGATGGATATATCATCGTTATTCAAATTCGAAAACGAAAACAAAAGTGATAAAGGAAAGTTGCAAACAAAGTAAAACTAGTGATACTGGCCCCTTTTCTTTTGGGGACTACTTGTTTGCTGCAGCAAGTTCCGCACTGATAATGAAACTCGATTTCCCAGCTTGTCTCAAGTACTGAACATCTCCATTCATCAGCTTCATCAGTTTCCGGCTAACCATCAAGCTCAATCCTTCTTCTGACACATCTTCCTCAGTCCCAAACATTTGGTTTAGTAAAAACTCGGGTATCCCAGCTCCCGTATGCGTCAACCTGTTTTCATACGCCCAATATCCTCAATGCATTTTTCTTTAACATCATATTGTGCATTCTGATTAAGAATATTTTACCTGATCTCTAGATAAGCAAGATGCACAGAACGCCCAAGCTGATCCTTCCTCAGGGACGCTGTAACAGCTAGCTGACCTCCGGATGGTGTAAAGTTAACAGACATCAGCATGAAATCTGCCAAGACTTGTTGAAGTCTTATACTGTCTCCATACAAAGTATCAGACATTACTTCTTCTCCGGTCTCATTTGTTATTCGTACGCTCTTTCCGTTACTCTTCATCATTACTTGACTTGTGGAAGCAGTCAACACTTCGTTTAAGCTGAACTCTTTCATTTCCAGATCCAAACACCTGCGCAGTCAAATCACAACATAAGAAAGCAGGTAAACTTTTGAAAGATTAGAAACTTCGATTCTTGCATACCCTTCAATAATGCTTTCAAGATCCGAATCATCAAGAATCTTGCTTAGTTGCTTCTGACATAATGCACTAGTTTGCAAAATCTGTCTCTGCTCTGGTCCTAATTCAGTGCCCTCTATCATTTTCCTTGTAAACATAATCCCAGATAGGGGATTCCGGATCTGTCTTTTGATGTATGCTAGAGCCTTTAATCTCTTTACTGCAGTTCTCTCAGCTAGACGCTGAACATGGAGCGCTTGCTGCAGCTCATGGCTGGCAAGTTGCAGGAAACAGAAGACACCTGTCACTACACCTTCCCTGTCCAGTTTCTTACTCACACACAACAGACACTCTACATATTTGCCTGCTCTTGTAAAGAAAGCAAACGACACTTTCTCTGGATCTTGACTGGTCACAGCATTGTTTAGCACAATCCCAAGATTTACAAAGGCTTCTTGATTCTTTAAACGACAACATGACTTTTGCGTCCCAAAGACTTCTCCTAAGAGCATCTTGTCGATCACTTCCTCTCGCTTCAAACCGGTTAACTTTGACATTGCTGGATTCCACTCTGTGCACCATCCAAACTCATCGGTGCCAAATATGGGCGGGATCAGCGGGTTTGGATTTTGGATAATCGCCTTGTAATCACCTTCAATACGAGTAAACTTGTCCATCACAGTCTTCTGGCCAGTAAGATCATGGGCTACAAAACACACCCCAACCACGTTTTCATGGAGATCTCTACTTGCACATGCATTTACAATTAAACTTATTGGCCCAGCATCAGCCCTGGACAAGTGTGTCTTGATCTCAAATTGGACATTCTGCTCCTCCGTTCCTGCATAGATAAGCAAGTGAAGTTTATATAGGCTCGGCTTCAGTGTTTTAGAAGAGAAAAAAGCAAACCAACATACGTGATTCATCATTAAGAATCAGAAACAACACACTGCACCAAGTTTCTTCGACTATGATTCTCAATTGAAACTTGAACCGTGCAATCTAGTTGGAAGATTCTTAGCAACTCAGTATAAATTAGGAGGAGAGTTACCTTCTAATGCATTCTCTAGCATCCTTTTAACGATTTCCACTGAAGAATCTTCAACAAGAGTGAGGAGATGCTTCCCAATTGCTTCATCAACCGAAAGACCAGTCAACTCAGCAATCTTTGTGTTCCAACCATTAACCAATCCATCAGAATCAACCGCCAATATTGGCACCGTAGCAGTCTCAATTAAACGAACCATCTCACTGGTCACAGCTTCTAGTTCTTGTATACCATCAATTTTAAGATCATTTAGCTTAGAGTGAATGACCTTTGTATTCACATCGGTAGTCTCACCATCCTTGAAAGCATTCCTCAGAATAAGCTGCAAGGAGTGTATTGCATCCATCTCATAGTCCTTCCAAGGTAAACTTCTTGTCTTGACAACCTCAAGAAAAGCCTTGAACGATGACCTCGGGTGCATTCTCCTTGCATCATCCCTATCATCTGGGTCATGCTTGGCACCTCCCCATCTCACTTCACCAGCGGTATGAGAACGGAACCAGAAAATCATGTCTTTCGATGATATCCTTACAGCTGCCATTCCACATACTGAATCCCCAAGAGATAGAGCCCTCGGAAACCCAGCGTCATGCAAACTATCAGTGCTCAAACCTGTTGAATCCGTGTGGTATTCACACAACCATGAAGCTAACTCCTGCAGATGGAACTCACTTGGAGTTGTTCCCAGTTTCCATATCTTGTCTTTATACAAGAGTGCTGCTCCATCACATTTCACCAGGTCCATTATGTTGGGGCTCTGCGACACAATACCCAGTGGAGCATCACGCATCAACATATCACACAAGAGTGTCTGTGTGCGCAAAATGTTCTTCTCCACAATTTGGTTCTCCAGTTCCACCTCTTTATTGACGTGTATCGCAAACACTTGAGCTAAGAACTCACAGGCATACCTGAGAGGAAATGGAACAAATCTAGGAGTCGTATTATGACAAACCACTAAACCCCATAATCTCTTTCTTTTCTGAGGCTGTGTGGTAGAATCAGGAGCATCCCCTTCTCCATCTTCCTCGTTAACTACAACCGCCATAACCAGAGATGCAATTGAATCCATGTTGGCCATGTACTGCAAATGGCAGCTGTGCGGTGCTCTGAGGGTAGAACCACACAAGGTAAGATCAAAGGAAAGCTTTTCATCTTGAAGCACCCTAGCATGTTTTGCATTGCAATCAACGATCATCCGGACCTTGTTCTTCATAAACAGAAAGCGCGCTGCTTGAGGGATGTCGGTGGCTGGATAATGCAAACCAAGATAAGGCTCCAGCCCAGGTTTTGTAACCTCGGAGACAACCTCACCGTGATCATCTTCATGAAACTTATAAGCCATCACCCTGTCATACCCCGTGAGTTCAAAAACCTCCTGTACCATTGTATCACAAAGCCTTTCCATGCTTCCACTGGGCAAAGATTGCAGCCTAGTGATTGCTTTGGCAGCGAGCTTATATGATTGTAAGGCACCAGCAGCTGTCATCGGAACTTCATAAGGCTTTACCGGTTCAAAGTCGACAATGATACTCCCTGTAACCCTGTGGACAATCGCATAAAAGGGCTTTGCAGAAGTCTTGCAGTGCACAAGAATGGGATTCAACAGAGAGACATCTCCAAATCCAAGGGCTTTCTGCAATGCAGATGCACTAGGAGCAGTGAAAAGACTCCTTATATCTGTTCCAATGCCTAGAACAGGGTGTTCGCCAACACTAGGAACTGCATGACTGGTCATTGTCAACAACTCCGGAGCATTCTCGCTGTATGCAATGACTTTGAAAGTCTTCTCATCCAAGGCAAGCAAACAACCAAAGGGCTGAATCAGCTTTCCCTTCTGTATGTGATGAAGATAAGTCGTGGTCACCTTGTCAGACCTCGGTGGCTGGTTCTCCACAACCGGGCCAGTGACACGCACCGAGGTTGAGTAATCAAAGGAACTGCCTGACTCCTCAAAATCAGCATGGAGCTTCGCATCTACAGTGGTCTGCGCAATGATTCTAGCGCTGTGCCTTGATCGCCTTGAGCCCTCAGAGGACTGACTCGGCCTAGACCCTGACATTGTTTTCCTGACACAGACAATACAACAAAAATAAGTGCAAAAATTTTATATAGAGGAAAATATTCATGCGGTAATCATATGAACACAAAAGCACCAGTCATAGAATAAAATGCATAAGCATAAACTTAAAACACTAAGAATCAAGAATTTTCAAACACTAAATTGTCGCTACAGCTCAAGTTCCTTTCAAAGTAAAAAGAGGCATGGACTACTCGAGTAACTCAATCGAGAAAGTCTGCCTAGCTAAAACCAAAAATAGAACACAACAGGTGCAGGAATCATTCTGCTATATTCCACTATTCAATGATTTACCATTCTCAAAGCAACTGAGCCAACTTAAGTATGATGTGTAAGGACATAGCTAAGGAGTCAAGATTCCATGAACACTATCAATTGAAGTCATCCAAAAATCCAAAATCAACAAGATGGGACAATTAACATGTAGCACAAATGGTCGTAGATACTCAACAGGGACCATCAACTTGACAGATACTAACAATAACGAGGATCAGAGAAAAATGATGCCTTTCAACATCCAAACACAGCTAAGCAATACATAAAATAGACTTGATATAAACTCTTGAGAGTCGTTATAGTTATACCTTTCAGAAAGGAGTAATAAAGTCCCACAGCGAAAGCAATCTTAAAAGTGACGAGAGCTAGGATGAGATAAATTGGATGCTTCTTCTCATAAATGATCAGAGGCTACAAAATCTGAGTAAAACAAGCACACATCAAGCCAGATCAAAAAATCTTTTATTGGCAGAAAACACGGAGGGTTATTGATGACAACAGTCAATAGAGAAATAGCTTAAAACTAATTAACTTCAAAGTAAGGATTAATCACAAAAGTAACGCAACCCCGGGAAGAGCTTACAGAGTATAAAGAGTGAGTCTAGTTGCTGCTAAGCTCTAAGCAGAAAACAATGGAAGAAAGCTTCAACATATATATATACAAATAAAGAAAGGAGGAAACTTTGGGAAAGGGAAAGTAGCTACCTTTAAAGAGAAGAAAGAAGAAGAAGAAGAGGAAGATTCAAGAAACCATGATCAGATCTTGTCTAGTCACACTCTTCAGAAGTTTTTTTCTTGGGTTGGTTTAGTTATACTAAATCTAGACCTCGATCACCGCCTCTTCTCTCTGGTCTGCTACGTCTCTCTACTCTCTATTATTTGTGCTCCCTAACACAGACGACGAAGATGAAGGGACCACCCAAATACGTATGCCCATGTCTCAGAGTATGGGCAAATTGTTATATAGTATATTATAATCGAATAAAAATAAAAGATAAAAAAGCTTAATTTGGATAAAAGACAAATCTCACACACAAATCAAGAACAGGGTCGGCTTCGCCGGTAACAGTTTGCTCACTAAAACAGAACAGTAAGCGAAGATATGATATACTTATATATAAAAAAAAAGTTGGCACCTTTCTGGAATTCAAAGAAAAAAAAAGAGAGTCTTTTAATGGAATTTTTAAAGTTTTAGATATTTTTCACCGATGTGAGTAAGAGTAAGACTGGGTAATGAGGAGAAAAAAAAAACAGTAAAGTGGAAGAACAAAGTTGAGGGGTGATCTTCTTTAAATTAGATTAGATTTGAAGAGAATCATACGAAAGATAAGATGAAAAGTAAAAAGGATTATTAATATAAAAACAAGAAAGAGAGATGGGAAGGAGGGAAGGGGGTAGTTGTTTAATGAAGGCAATAACCAGAAGTGGAAAGTTGTGTTTGGGGAAGACGACAAGGATGGTCTTATGGGCTTCACGTTTTCTCGGCTTTTTGCGTTTTGTAATCTGCTTCTCTTATTTAACTTCATTTGTAGGGACTTTCCTTTTTTGTATTTCTTATTTTTTTTTTCAATTTCCAAATTAACATCAAATCTCATCTTTAATTAAAGTGGAAACTTCCTTCTTCCATTATTCTCGAACTTTGATTCTTCTTATCCATCCATGGGAATGACACATCGGGATATTTTCACCAAACCACGCTATCATGATCACTTCTTATTAGCTATTGTATCTATCGTCTTTGTTATATTCTTCCACTAAGAAAATTTCACATGGATATTGTGATATATATATAACAAACTCTGCAAAATTCACTTCAGGATTGTCTAAAGATGATCATGTCCAAAACAAACTCTGCAAGTTTTTGTTCAAGATTGTCTAAAGATGATCATGTCCAAAAAAGGAATCGACAACGTCTCATCCAGACAGCGCAACTTCACTTAGATATTGTGGCACAGCTATGTTGGACCAAAAGAGTGCCTCTATAATGCAAACGTCCTCCAAGCAAAACAGCCATGATCCATTAGACAGTCATGGCCCATGTTGCGTGTCTGGATTGTCAAAATTCTATCTTCTAGATCCCATTTCAGGAAGAAGAACACTTGAGGAACTGAACAGATGTGATTTGAGTGGGGTTATAGCTATTTGGAGAGGTTTTAACGGCCTAGAACTATCCAATCCTTGAGAGGATTTGGAACATTAAGAGTTAAAGACACATTTTGGGAGCTTTTTCTGAATCTGAACTCTAAAAACAACTGTCCGGTACCATATGTTACTTTGTTTTACATGAAAGTACCAAGAGTAAAGAAAAGGGTCCTTATATAGAAACAAAAATGACCTGTTAACGGTCAATGTAAAGAGAACAGTTAAATCTGTTCAGTCAATCTTTACAGTAACAACAAAAATGTCAATAGGTACTTTATGTATCTTTAAGAAGCACAAAAGGATGGTCGAAAGCAAAAGACTAATCATATTGTTCAGTTTCACAGAACCATGCACAACAGAGAGAAGAAAAATCGGAATGATTATCTTCTTTTTGAATGAATCAGTCTCTGCGACTCTGCAAAGCATCCTCGAGATCAAGTTCTAACCCAACACGATTCCTTATAGACGCAGCTGCGTGACAAGACGACGTCGTTTTACACATCCTCTCCAATTCCTTAAACCTCTCACAGTCAAACTTGTGACTCTTCAACAACTTCCTCTGCCTCGACAAGAACAGTCTCTTCATGAAATCCTGATATGTGGGATCCCTCGAAGTCATCAAGAAATAAGCATAACCCACGATGATGCCTGTCGCTGTAGCGAAGAAAGTGATTGGTTCCATCACATCCCATGAGAATTCCCAGAAAGTTAATCTAAAAAAGAGCCCAATTTGAACCATGGAAGTAGCCAAACCACACCAAAGAATCTTCCTCACTTGTCTATGAGCAAGAACATCAATCTCTTCTTTCATGGTTCTCAGCTTATTGAATTCGTCTTTTATCTGATCTTCCTCTGGATTCTGATCCAAAGGCATCGCCCGTCTAATCAGATCCACCACCTGAAAACAAAAAGTCCAGATTTTTAGAGAAATCGAGAAGAAGATAGAACAGAGTAAAGTTTCGTTTTTTCCGAGGTTTGAAAAGAGACCTTATCTGGGTGAAGAAAGACTTTATCACGAAAAATCAAGACAACGCCAGCATCGTCGAGAACACGAGCAAAGATGTGAGCTTCATCAGGAGATCTAGCGATACCCATTCCTTGAGAAGCTTCTAAAAGTGAAGTGTAAGAGACGACATCTCTATCAGCCATACCAACAAGCTTCTTCTTCATGTCTTCAACATTCACAAGCCTCATCAGCTTCTTCGCTTCCGCTATAGTTACCTCTTTCTTCTTCTTCTCTTCCTCATCTGACGGCGGTGTATTGACGGTGACGCAGCTTCTTGATCCACCATGGACAAGCCATGTCCTTTGTGAAGAAGCTCTGATGGCGCTGGACATTGCCGTACGCCTGAGCAGACCCATTGACCACATTACGAACCCACGAATCTGAAGATCTGAGATATTCGAGAAAGCGAAACCAGAAAAAGTTAGGTTCGCAGATCAAAGATTAAAAGATATGAGAATCAAGAAAAGGTGTGTGATACGATTCCAAACAAAGTGACTTAACACGTTTAATTACGAATCTCAGATTCTTCTATTATAATTAAGAGATTATTAGGAAAATCGAAAGAGAACAAAAAAAAGGAAAAGAGAGGAGAAGCACGTAGCCATTTGCTTTTTATCTATAGAATTTTGGAAAAAAGGTAAAAAAAAAAAAGAAAGATTGGTAGGTATGTTAAGATTGTTGTTGACTTGGCATGAAAAATGGCTTTTACATATCCCAATCAACTTTCAGATAACTCAAAATCAATTTGATTTGTTTGGTGGAAGTATACAATAATAAAGTACTAATTGTGGGATCTTGTTTAGTTTATACCCAACCACCATTCTGACAAAAAAAAGAAACAGATAATGATCCAAACAAACAAACAAGTCCCTTTGTTAGTTTGAGTTGAGGAGTTGAGAGAGACCAATCCTTTTCATCGGAGTTGAATTTGACATCAAGTTACTTCACTAGCACATTACAGAACAACACGTATCCCTGACTTAAGAAAGAACAAACATTTGTTTTTATTACATCAAGTAACAACAACAACAACTTGTTGCCAACACATTTCCTTCAATTTATCATATTACGCGGAATGATGAATTCATTCTCCACGAGTGTACGCAAGCAAATTCTTTCTTCTGTTCAATTATATATTTGATAGCATGAAAACGTGGAATCCCTAATTAGAAACACATATTTCTAGCTTTCAATTCGATAATATTCGTTGTGAAAGCGCTTTAAAAGTTAGTTTAAGCCTTTAAGGCATATGACACAAACAACCAAACGAAAGCGTACGTAGAGAAAACGCAGATAAACAAAGAAACACCACAATCGTTTTGTACTGCCACGACAAGAAACACAAATAAAAATTGACATTTTGATTGTAGAGAAAAACAAACCTAATTACATTTAGGGAGATCGGAAATCATCATCTATGAATGACATACCTGAAAAAGTACTTCGACAGTTTTTGTTCTCTTATGATATTTAATGTGAATGATGAAGAAGAAAATAATTTTAAGCACTATGTCCACCACCACGGCTTGAGAGTTTTTGCGTTGTTCTTGAGAAGAAAGCGAGATTAGTTGTTAAGTTATGCTCTCCCTTGTTTTGCCGTTTTTATCTCCTGACCACTGCTTAAGGGCCAAATCCGTTTTTATAGTAGTATGTATGCCCCCTGCCTAAAAATTAAATATGATGATGATTACGTAAAACACGACGTTCATGAGTCATTTAATGCTAGATTATGAGCTGACGACTTTGCAATAGGTTTACCACTTCCGTAAATGGATAACTTATTAAAACTATATTAAACAATGACATGATGACTTGTATTAATGTGTCTAACCAGATTTCTAATTAACAATAATAGTTAGCCTGGCCGTACGAATACGATTGTTAAAGATGTTTGTTTTTAATCACCTCATGCAATAGTTTAAGTTTTGCCAATTTGTCTTTTAAAAACAAAAAGAAACTGCACAAATCTATAAAAAAAAGTTTATAAAGACTCTGCCAAATCTTGTCTTTATGACTCCAAACTGCACGAATATATGAGATAAGAATTAAAAAAAAAAAAACAATTGCGAAATGAGATTAGAAAAGGCAACTAGTTGAAATGTGTTGTTTAATGTTTTCTTAAATAAACCACATTAAAGTAATTACTTATTTAGATCTATATTGGACCCAAAGCACATCACTTTAGCTCAATTCTCAAGCCCGTGAAGGAGCCTCATCAAGGCCCAATCAAATCGTCTACACTGCATCCCAAGAACAAAGAAAAAAAGAAAAGTACTTAGGAGCAAAGATCTGGCCACCAGAACACAAACGATCGATGAATACAATCGGAAAGTCTGAAAGCTCGATGAAGATGACTTCTAAGATGCGCCGTGGCTTACCGACGGCGTTCATTCTCTTCTTCCTGGTTCCGGTATTGATTCCAGTCGGCGAGGCGGTATGGCTAGATGTGCCTCCCACCGGGACAAAGTGTGTATCTGAAGAAATCCAGAGCAATGTCGTCGTTTTGGCTGATTACCTCATCATCTCTGAGGATCATGGCGTCATGCCCACTATCTCCGCCAAGGTATCTTTCTTCGATTTCCTGTTCCGATCATCTGTGCATGACTGCATTATGTATCTGTTACTAGATCCCTAGTTTCACCTGATCCATTTAGTCGTTTCCCTCAATTAATTACACGTAATTAGGAACAATTGTATATTTATGATCGATCGAAGTTTCCTTTTTTGGAAAATTGTGCTCATGATGATATGTAACAACATGTCTTTCTTTGATTGTTCGTTTCGGTTTTATTTTGGATTTGCATTCAAAAATTTTGGGTTAATTAATGAAGGGAGCTTCAACTAAGTATACTCTCTCTCTCTCTCTCTTTTGGTACTCTTTGGTGATCTCATCTTTGCAGTGAAACACAAATACATTTGGTAATAGTTTTTGCTAGTTCCATATTGTTTGATGAATTGTTTTAGATAATGTCATTGGATTGAGGGCTGTCTTTGAAGTCGAACTTGAATATAGTTATCAAATATTGAAATGTAGTGGTCCTGGCTAGTATCTTCTGTTTCTTGGCTCTGAGTTTTGAGAATCTTTATGGTGCAGGTGACATCCCCATATGGCAACGTTCTGCACCACATGGAAAATGTAACGCATGGCCAATTTGCATTTACAACCCAAGAATCCGGGAACTACTTGGCGTGCTTTTGGGCAGATGCAAAGAGTCACGGAAACCAAAATGTTAGCATCAACATTGACTGGAAAACTGGAATCGCTGCTAAGGATTGGACCTCTATTGCTAAGAAAGAGAAGATCGAGGTGAGCTTCCACAGGGATTTTACAGTTCAGAGAGCGGATGCCTATGTTATGATTCAGAAAATCTGTAAAGTTTGTTTCTTTATGACATTTGGTTTGCTTGATAACATAGGGTGTGGAGCTGGAGATCAGGAAACTAGAAGGTGCAGTTGAAGCCATCCATGAAAATCTACTCTACCTAAGAAACAGGTACATTTAGCTACATTTACAACTGCTCATGTCTTCTTGGTTGGTTGACAAAAGTTTTGTGGATCAAAATGCAATTTTTGCAGAGAAGCAGAGATGAGGACAGTGAGTGAGAACACGAACTCGCGGGTGGCTTGGTACAGTATAATGTCCCTGGGTATTTGCATCGCCGTCTCTGGTCTACAAGTAGTCTACTTGAAGCAATACTTTGAGAAGAAGAAGCTTATATAGAGATTCCCTGATCTTCAATTTCTCTAAAGAGTTCCTACTTAGAGAATAATATTCAATTCTTTTTCGTTTACACGTTCCTTTTTACTGACGCTGTAAAATTTTGTTCATGGGATTTTCCTGTAGCCTCATTTCTGATAAGTAATCATTCTTTCTGATTCATAAAACTGAATAAAAAAGGATAAAGCTCCAAGAGAATTTTCAAGAGAACTAGGCATTAATACTGGGTATAATTTGAACTTTATGTTAGTATGGGGCGATAAAACTTAAGTTTCACAGTATAAGGATTAACATGACAATAAAAAGTAAAAACCTTTGTCGATAAGACGATCAGTTATTCAAATGGGTATGTATGTACATATAAAGCCCAACATTCCGAACCAACAGGCCCGTTCAGAAAGGAAAACAAACCCTAATATCAAAGAGATATAAATAAACCCTAATCACATTTCGCATCCTCCTAAGAGACGGAAAAATGCCGGCAGGTCATGGAGTTCGGGCGAGAACGAGGGATCTGTTCGCGAGGCCGTTCAGGAAGAAGGGTTACATTCCACTGTCGACCTACCTCAGGACCTTCAAGGTTGGCGACTACGTCGATGTTAAGGTGAATGGTGCGATCCACAAGGGTATGCCTCACAAGTTCTACCACGGACGTACTGGTCGCATCTGGAACGTTACCAAACGCGCCGTCGGTGTCGAAGTCAACAAACAGGTCCGATGAACTCTCACATCTCTTTAACTTTGGTCTTAGTGGTCTAGTATTGGATCGTATATTTAGATTTTAGATTGTTGATCTGCCGAACTTATGTTGAAATGTCTGATTAAGCATTGTTTAGTAGAACGTAAATATCATCTACAAGCTTAGAGTGGTATCTCAAAGATTTCAATTTCAGTGATCCAGTAGCGTTGTTCTTGATCCAGTTTGAGATTCGAAATTGATTGCTTTATCTTTCGTTTAGTCTTCAGCCTTAACACAGTTTTTTGTTGCATTATTAATTCCTTTCTGTAATCTAATGTTAATGTTTGGACCAGCTCTTATGTTACATTGTTGAGTCAATACTTGGACTCTTGGTCATTGAAATGCTAGCACGATTGGTTTCATGACTATTGCATTGCTGTGGTCTGGCTTCAAATCATCTGGTCTCTATATATGTTATTGTGTCATTTACTGACATATATATGTTTGTGGGTGTTTCAGATTGGTAACAGGATCATAAGGAAGAGGATCCATGTGCGTGTGGAGCATGTGCAGCAATCAAGGTGTGCAGAAGAGTTCAAGCTGAGGAAGAAGAAGAATGATGAGCTTAAGGCTGCAGCTAAAGCTAATGGCGAGACAATAAGCACCAAGAGACAGCCTAAAGGACCCAAACCAGGATTCATGGTTGAAGGCATGACCTTGGAGACTGTCACTCCAATCCCTTACGATGTCGTCAACGATCTCAAGGGGGGCTATTAGTTCTACTTTCTTGCGTGTTTTGGAGCTCTTCCTTTATATGTTTTGTAGCGACTTCAAATTTTTGTTTTCGACTAAGAATATGATTTATATAACAGGAGTTTTGCAGTATTATTTTTGTTATTGTTTGATTTGTTTCTTCCAGTTTCTAAATCTCATGTGAAATTAACTCTTTTGAGCCTAATCGAAGATACTCTTGAGTTTTGACGCGGTAAAAGCTAAGCTAAGACCTTAAACTTCTTCTTGGATCAGTTGGGTGCAAGAGGAATAGAGTTGCATGCGTAAAGGGGAAATGTTGAGCTTCTTGACAGAAAATGGAACTTTCTAGAAGTCGATACGGTGGACTCTTCTCCAGCTATACCACTCGTGTTACTTTGATATATTCTACTGCAGATTCCATTCGAGAGACACAAAAATATGCAACCTTCTCAGATTTTCAAATACTTATTAGCTCTATAGAGACAGATTGAAAAACCAGCTGCTTCCTCTTCATTTTTTTTCTTTCTCCTGTTAACATTTTCGTTATTTCTGTTTTTTTTTAAATTGAACTTCCTAAAATAGATAAAAACAATGAAACTTCAGTTCATCCGTTGCTGTCCTAAATTTCTCATTTTCTCATAGGCGGCTATTCGCAATTTTAGGAATCCACTCAAGACTCTTTATTTCTCTCTCTCCATTTAATCTTACCATGATTTTTTTTTCTCTCTCTCTGCTGACCCAAGCCAACCTTTGATTCTCTAATTCAATTTGTTTTCTTAAAAAAAAAAAAAAAAAATTGCCACCCAAAGAATACGAATCCTTGTTTGAATCCACCACATTTCGAAATCATTCTTGCTGAACTCATATTTTTCCAGTTTTCTCTTTTTGTTTCCCCCCTTCTTCTCTATCCTACGTTAGATTTTAAGATCTGTGTTAATCCCAATAAGTTTGGTTGCTGCTGTTAAGAGATTTCAGAAACAATTTGGTCTAAAGATCAAAAAACACATTTTCATCCAAAAGCTCGAATTTTTATCCCCTGTGGGGGGATTGGTTGTGGTGGGTGCAATTTCATTCCTCAGTGAAGAATAAAGAAAGATTAGGAGGCTAATTAAAACATACAGTTTCCTGATTCCGATCAGGAAACTGTGGACTGTTCACGGAATCACGAAACTCTGTAGAATTATGGGATGCAACTGCACCAAAGGAACACGAGCAAATGATCACGTGGAGAACAACACGAATGTTACTGGGAGGGAGAGACGAAGCAAGAAGCCTAAGACAATGAAAACCTCCAACAAGAAGAAAAAGTCTGCTTCCTCTAGCAATGCAGGAGCAGAGGAAAGAGGCAACAACAACGAATCCACATTGAGGTTTTTGATGCCCATTGATGCCAAGGACAATGATGGTGCGGAGAAGAAGGTGAATCTTGAGAGAAAATCTTCTAGATCGGTGTTTCAGAGACGGCCCACCACCCTTGAGGTGGCAGGGACTTTGCAACAACCTAAGATGACTAGAATATGCAGTATTACTAATGGAGAAAGAGGTGCTCAGGTTATGGCTGGTTGGCCTTCTTGGTTGGCTTCTGTTGCTGGAGAAGCTATCAATGGATGGATTCCTCGCAAGGCTGATTCTTTCGAGAAGTTGGAAAAGGTGAGGCCTTTTTTTCCTGTGTGTTTTTCTATAACTATGAGATGATTTGATTTTGTGCCTTGTCTTGAATTTTCACATTGTTGCTTACTGTTAGATTGGACAAGGGACCTATAGCAGTGTCTACAAAGCCCGGGATTTAGAAACGAACCAACTAGTTGCGCTGAAGAAAGTGCGGTTTGCTAATATGGATCCCGAGAGTGTTCGGTTCATGGCAAGAGAAATAATCATCCTTCGAAGGCTTGACCATCCTAATGTTATGAAGCTTGAGGGTTTGATCACTTCAAGAGTATCAGGGAGTATGTATCTTATATTTGAATATATGGAACACGATCTTGCTGGCCTTGCTTCAACCCCTGGTGTTAACTTCTCCGAGGCACAGGTATTACTATTTTCTCCACAATATATGCATTTGCTATTATGTGGTTGATGTTCATCTAATGTGTTGTGCTTTGCAGATTAAGTGCTATATGAAACAGCTGCTTCATGGTCTAGAACATTGTCATAGCCGAGGCGTATTGCATCGTGACATCAAGGGCTCTAATCTTCTGCTTGACCATAACAACAATCTCAAAATTGGAGATTTCGGTCTTGCCAACTTTTACGGGGGCCAACAGAAGCAGCCTCTCACTAGCCGTGTTGTAACTTTGTGGTACCGCCCACCTGAACTATTGCTCGGGTCAACAGACTATGGAGTTACTGTGGATCTGTGGAGCACAGGATGCATACTAGCTGAACTCTTTACTGGGAAGCCTATCATGCCCGGTAGAACCGAGGTAGAACAACTACACAAGATCTTCAAACTTTGTGGCTCACCTTGTGAAGAGTATTGGAGAAAATCGAAACTTCCACATGCCACCATCTTTAAACCCCAACAACCTTACAAAAGGTGTGTAGCCGAGTCATTTAAGAGTCTTCCATCTTCAGCTTTGGCCCTAGTTGAGGTTCTTTTAGCTGTAGAACCAGATACTCGTGGAACCACAGCTTCTGCCCTTCAAAGTGAGGTAAAAGCTCTACCATAACATTCAACTTTTGTTTAGCGGAATGCAGTTCTATACGCTACTTGTCTCACACTTTTGTTTCTTTTTGTTTTGTTTAGTTCTTTACGACAATGCCTTTTGCAAGTGACCCCTCAAGTTTACCAAAGTACCAACCGAGAAAGGAAATTGATGTGAAGGCGCGAGAGGAAGCAAAACGGTAAGATCAAGATTCTACTAGTATCATAGTGTACAATTTTTTTCTGAAGATTTCGCCATAATATAACAATTTAAAAAGAGCTCGTCTCTGCTGAATGAACACTGACATGCCCCAATTTTCTCTCATCCACCAGAAAGAAAGGCACTAGCACTAAACAAAATGAGTCAAAACAAGTATCTAGAGAATCTAGAGCTGTGCCAGCTCCAGATGCCAATGCTGAGTTGCTGACATCAATACAAGTACGTCTGATTCTGGCATATTACACCTACAAATATATTATGGTTAGATTCATGTGATCTTAATTATCTGTCTGTTTTCTTGTTTTGTAAAGAAACATCAAGGGCAGCAGAATAAAGATGCAGCTAGCTTCCGGATAGAACCACTGAAGAGTGGAACTCCACAAGTCGGTTACAATCGTTATGGTGTGTCCTCTGTGAATAGAAATGGAGAGAATGTTATGAGGGGTTCGAGTCGTTCTCCGAGAAAAGAATTGAGGACGCAGCGGTCTTTTGTCCAACGCGGAGCAGCCCAATTGTCAAGATTCTCAAACTCAGTAGCTGCTAGAGATGGATCACATTTCGCTATAGCGAATCCACGGTGGCTTGAAGATAGTTATAGGAACGATGGTGATTGGTCCCAACGTTTGATGGTTAAACCAAAAGGTTCTACAAAACACAAAGAATCCAAACCGGTAAAAAGGACATCCAAACTGTGTAATTGTGCTTTTCTTTGCAGTGGAACTCTTTGTGGGCTAATCCACAATTCTTTTGGTTATATTTAGGTTTACGGTGAAAAGACAGAGAGAATGCACTACTCAGGGCCATTGGTTTCTGCAGGAGGAAACTTAGATGAAATGTTGAAAGAACATGAAAGACAAATTCAGTTAGCGGTTCGCAAAGCTCGGGCAGATAAGAAGATGAATAGAGACGATAACAAACAGGCTCAAGCGTTTCTTGCTGCAACTGGCAGGTGAATGAAATATATCAGAGAAGAAGAAACAAAGGAAGAAACTTTTGAGATATCAGGAAAAGTGCTGAAAGGTTTGGCGTTGTAGAGTCAACTGATCTCTTGTGGGGTCTTGTGTAAAGTCCAAAGCTAAAATTGTGTGATATATTTGTTCTTGTTCTTGTAAAATTTTATTTTGTTTAGTTTTAGTAGAATAAAAATTATTATTGTTATCTTGGTATTTCAATTGCACTAAACGATCCCACATAACCAAATATCGATCCTTTTCAAGATTGGTTCTTTTTTTAAAACGATCCAACCACCAAGAAACTTAAATAGAAGGCTTCACTCTCTTGCTTCTTGCAGAACCTGAAATTAGCTGCTCTGTCTTACTCAAGTACCCTTATAGTTTCCTTACCTTCATGTCTAAGCATAAACCAAACTTCCTCTTTCATCTCATCAGCATGTTTCCTATAATTATATAGGAACAAGTCTGTAACTTTTGCAGAACCCAAGTTCTTTTGTTTGAATCAGACAATGAAACCTAAAGCAAATCAAATCCACAAACACAAGCTTCTCCTTGTTTGTCTTCTTGCCACCTTAATTCTCATCTTCATCGTGAGATCAACTCTGACATCTTCACGGTCACGCCAAACTTCAGAAGAGGCAAGATCAGCGCGTTGCTCTGGTGCCTGCAATAAGCTCCCACGTTCCCTCGCACAAGCCCTGATCCATTACTCGACTTCAGTTATCACTCCACAACAAACGCTTAAAGAAATAGCAGTTAGCAGTAGAGTACTCAACAAGAAGTCACCCTGCAATTTCTTGGTGTTTGGTCTAGGCCATGACAGCCTCATGTGGAGCTCTCTTAACTATGGAGGCCGGACGGTATTTCTTGAAGAAGATGAGGCATGGATAAAACAGATCAAGAGACGGTTTCCAATGCTGGAATCGTACCATGTTACATACAACAGTAAAGTCAATCAAGCCGATAATCTCATAGAAGTTGGGAAAGGACCTGAATGCACAGCCATTGGAGATCCAAGGTACTCAATGTGTCAACTAGCACTCAAGGGTTTGCCTGCAGATATCTATGAGACTAGTTGGGATCTAATCATGGTTGACGCACCAACTGGCTACTACGATGAGGCTCCGGGGAGAATGACAGCCATTTACACAGCGGGAATGATGGCAAGGAACAGGAAACAAGGAGGAGAGACCGATGTGTTTGTGCATGATGTGAACAGGGAAATAGAAGACAAGTTTTCTAAGGCTTTCTTGTGTGAAGGGTACATGAAGAAACAGGAAGGGAGACTAAGGCATTTTGTTATCCCTAGCTATAGAGTTGGATCAAACTCAGAATCAAATAGACCATTTTGTCCATAGTGAACAACACATGTTACCTTAGATCTCCTCTGTTTCTACCAAATCTCTTTATCGTCCTTGTTGTTCTTCTACTTATTCAGCATCAGTTTATCAATATTGAGACGAGCATAGGCAACAAAGCTATAGCAAAAAACTAGACATTCTTAATGCATAATATCAAGTGTTCCTGTAAATGAACATTGGCAACTTTGTTTCGGTCCAGTAAAGCTCCACTTGTAAGAGAAATCTAGCAAGCTGAACCAGGGTAAAAAAGCAGCACAAAAAAAGCAATATTGCTGTATCCATAAAAAAAAAAAAACAGATCTTACTACACAGTACCAGAAATAAAAAGTAAAAACTCAGCAAAATAGTCTAAACAGATAACTATCAAGTCCAACTCGTATAAAACACCAAACATTCTGCAAACTCCCACGCCTTGAGCCTCTTGACTTGTAGTTGAAACTTGCCCGACGCTTTTCTTTTGGTCTACACTTTTAGGCTGGAGGGCAGACGCTAGTGCTGATGCAGTTAAAAGTGTTCAGTTTAGTTGACCAGAAACAAAAAGAGTATCCATGCAGCTTCTATTAGGAAGCAATTGTAATGAAATAACTAGCTTTTACCTGGTCACAAAGATAGCGGTTGGACTGCCAGGAGATGGAGGAGTCTGCGTCAGCACTGAAGCAAGTGGACCAGCTTTTGAAACATCATCAGTGTTACTTGCAGAATATATTTCAACCTCTTCAAGACCAAGTTGTCGCTTGATCAAATCCATGTTACTCTTTAGGACATCCATCTCTCCAAAAGGCAACCTCAAATTTAGAGCCTGAATGCCAATAGATATTGCCTCGTCCTTCTTGAATTTAAGGAAAGGCATGCAAATCATTTGGATTTTTTTGAAGGTTTCTGGTTTTTGTCCCTCCTTCTCCAATATCTCCCTCAGTTCTGCAAGTGTCTCTGCATCCGGGGCAAAACGACAGGTTTGTTGGTCAAAATTGCTCTGCAGAATCCTGAGGCAGTGAGCTCTCCATCCATCAAATTGCTCATTAACATATACTAGGCCTTTTAATTTCCCCTCTGGCACTGCTGTTACCTGAGCACCTTTCTTAGAACCCTTCTTGGAACCTACAAGTTGTTTTTGTAGAAGCTTTCTCATTAACACAATAGAATCTTGCAAATATTTGTTTGCACTCTTGAGCACCAAATCTGGCTCAGATGATGTTGGCCAGCCTGCTGTTACCACACAACCTTCCTTCTTCAAAAGTTTCCTCCAAACATATTCTGCAAACTGGGGACAAATAGGTTCAATGAGGCGTGTTTGCACATCCATAAAGGTCAGTATCAGGTCATGGTTCATGCCACCACTTCCACAAGAGAGTCTATACTCATCACGAGCAGCTTGCAAGTCGTAAAACCCATTTTTAAGTGCCTCCCTAAACAAACAATCCTTGTATGCTTTTTCAGTCAATCTGATGGCAATGTTCATGTCATTTTCAAACACTTTATCTGCATATGTAGATGGAGGGCCCGTTCTTAAAGAGGATTCAGCAGCCAGAACTTCTTCCATCCAGGTGAGCTCTTTTGTCAGCCGCAAAATTGCAGCATTTGCAGTTTCAAAAACAAAATTTGCGTCGTCAACACCATCACCAGCATCAGCCAAAGAAAACCTTGTAGCAGTGGCGGAGAATTCTTCAATAGCCTGGCGCAGGGTTCTAAAATTTCCAGTTGACTTTGACATCTTTTCAGAATTGAGCATGATGTGACCATTACATCTGATGCCACGTGGCCAGTTACGATTCGCCATCAGTGCAGTGTGGTTGTAGATAAAAAATGTCAAATGATTCTGAATAAGATCCTTTCCTGAAACTCGAAGGTCTAGCGGGTACCAGTAATCAAATTCCTGCTTCATCTTACTCAAGACAGCTGATGAAATATCAGATGATTTTGGGTACGGGCCATCACAGAAGAGATACTCCCAAACATCATCATTCATCTGCTGAGGGCTGATCAGAGACTTGCTACCTTTATACATGTCACCTCCACCGTGAAAGAAATGGGAAACTGTGTAATAGGCCATATAAAGAGATGAATCAGATAAGGATTCCACAAGGAACTGTTCATCCCAGGGAATACGAGTTCCTAGACCAAAAGACCTTGAGCAAGCCCACTGATTGAGCCAGCTCAGAGTGTGCTCAAAGCCATGCCTTGTTTCATCAGAATAGAGATTCATTTTTGATAAGCATTCCTCAGCCATTTTCCGCCATTCTGGTTCGCCGTAAGTTATGTACCACTGATCTGTGAGAGCCACAACACATTCATCACCTGATCTAGACATCACCGGCTTTTCGGGTTCACTGTATATGATTGCCTCACCAGTCTCTATGAGTTTTGTCTTGATAATGGGCTTGATATCTTGAACTCTCCTACCAACAAACTCTCCAATAAGCATGGTTCCTTCGGTGAATCCTTTCAGGTAAGTCAACCTCTTGGCCTCTACAAGCTTGTCCTTATCATTTTGACTTGCAATTTTCAAATCCAAGCAGACCCTTTCAGCAGCCTTATCCCCAAATTCCGGAATGTTGATAATTGGTATGATTTCAGAGGGCAGCCACTCCTGTTTCACACCATACTTTTCTCGAAAAGCAGGCTTGCCGTTTAAATCTTTTAAAGCCATGTAATCATCAGGGGCGTCACTAGGCACACTGGTGACAATGCCAGTACCTTTGTTGGTCAGAATGGTCATCATAGGAAGGGCATAGATGATGTCGTTGACTGCCAGTGGAGACCTTAAAGGGAGTCCAATCAGATCATACCCAGTCAACTCAACCAAGCAGGATGGCTTCTGATGGATCTTAGAGAAGTTCTGGTAGGCAAGGTTGAGTGCAGCTCTCTCAGTAAGGATAAAGACATCAGTTTCATTGATTTCATAAGCTCCATATTTCCCATCAGGCAGTACCCAAGCGTTTGTTTGTCCATACATGGTCTCTGGCCTCAAAGTAGCTGCAGCCAAGTAAACTCTCTTTCCTTCCAAAGGACCCAGTTTCAGAGGAAATGGCTTGACAACTTCCATCTTTATGAGTGTATACTCTTGAGGCTGAACACCTTCGCCAGTAGCACGGTCGTGATCTGCACAAGGCTGGCCATCTAAAGGTGAGAATATTGTGTATCTACGGTCTTTAACAACCTTTCCCATAGATTTCAACTTCCTCATTTGCCACCTCACAAAGGCATCGTAAAAGGGATTAACATCAGTGGTGACAAATGACCGTCTCCAATCACAACCCAATCCATATGCCTTGAGGTCCTCCATAGCCAACGGGGGAAAGTAATACAACCATTTATAAGGATCTTGGAATTCTGCAATCTCGCTATCAGTGAGACCAAAGCTGCGCATAATCTCCCACTGATAAACCTGTCCACCAGACTTGGCAGCCACCTTGGACTTCTTGCCCTTGAACTGACCAGGTAAAGCTGGTGTATCACTGCTCTCCTCCAGAACTTGAGGAGCTTGGTTGGTTTTGGTATCATCAGCAGTGAAGACAGGAGGGTTTCCAAACTGCTGAATCTCACGAGAAAGCTTGTCGGCGGAAGCCTTAATTGGCATACCAGTACAATGGAAGCCAAAGGGAAGAAGCACATTAGCTCCTCTAAGACGATGGTAAGCAGAAGCAAAATCAACCTTGGAAAGTGAAAAAGCATGCCCAATGTGTAGATAACCATTCATGTACGGGAAAGGGAAAGTCGAGAAAAACTTCTCTCCGGGCTTTGGAAGATTCTCACGAGATTCAGCCTTAAACACTTGCTCATCTTCCCACCACTTCTGAACCGCTACCTCAATCTCAAGAAGACGATCTCTCCTTGCGTAGCTTTTCGAATCAGATGCCATTACGTGACAGTGCCTACCCAAATTAAAAACCAAAAACAAACCTCAATACTTCGGAGAACAATGATCGGATTAGCATCAAACTGAGTAGAGACGCAGAACATAAAAGAGAAGATCTGAGAGAATTACCTTAGGGATGAGGAGCTTCGAGGAATCAGGAACCGAGTCCAATGCGAAAGCAATCGCAGATTCGAGAGAGACTGAGCCAGTTGGGAGATAAGGAACTTGATTTCTAGCTAGGGTTTATCTTTCAGACTCTCTTTGGATTTAACCGCAGCCCAGTCACGTCCAAAAAAGTGACACTATATTAGGGTATTCATCCGGCTTTTTGTTATATCCCAATTTCGGTTCAATGATTCGGTATAGTCTTCTCTTATTTCCCAATTTCGGTTCGATTATTCGGTTCAGTCATTTCGTTTAGTAAATCCGGTCCTATGTTTTTAGACTATCGAAAGTCGAAACAATGGAGATCATTGATTGAATGGAATGGAATGGCGACAAGTTAAGCTTCAGATTTCCATTATAATTTCTTCTAAAAGAATTCAAGTTACGAATGGTAAAAATGTAAAGAAAATCCAGAGACTATCAGATGTAGAGTTCTCGACTTGGTTTGGTTGTATAGAATGTGCATGCAATGCATGTTAGATTGTTCTTAACTTTGATAATCTATAAAATTGTCAAAACACTCATAGACCTTTCATCAAAACACGATTTTGTTTAATATATAACCATAAACTCACTTCTCCGGACTCTAAACCGTTGATCAAATTAAGAAATAAATATCGTAACTATAAAATTAAAAACAAAATTTTGATACCAAAAACAATGCAAAAAATCAAACTTAAAGTTGTCTCTTCACACGAGGTTATCACCGCGTTCCTTCTCGTTAGCCTTGCTCTTATCGTCTTCTTTCACTGGAACTTTCTTCTCGTTAGCCTTGCTCTTACCATCTTCTTCTTTCGCTGGATCTTTCTTCTCCAAAATACCAGCTCCTGTTTCCTCACGAGGTTTCAAGAACCGGAAGAGCCTTCCGACAAAACTGGATACAAACGCCACGATTATTATAGCTATGACGATCAAACACCATAACATGATTGAGTTCTCCATCGTTTTCTTTGTTTTCGATTATAAAAGAAAAAGGTAGTAAACGCAGAGTAGAGTTGTTTCGTGGTGATCAAACTTGCTTGCGAGTATATATATATATAGGCGGGAACTACCGGAAAACTTGGAAATTTACCATTTTCATAACTAAAAACTTGCTTTAAATTAATAATTTATTATCCTTTTTTTCTCAATCAGTTACTGGTATATTTCCTGTTTCAGAATTTCACAAACTAGGAAAAACAAAATATATACAAAAGAAAATATTTTTGTTTGCCTGTCTTCTTCGTAATTTTCTTTATTTGCTTTTTCCTATTTTTTAAGAAAATCAAAACTTCAAATAATTGCCTTCAAAATATTTAATTTTCATAATTTGTATGAACGATTCCCTACTCCACATTCGATGTCGAATGTCATTTTAGAGAGCTGTTATCAAAAAAAAAAAACAAAACAAAAAAACAAATGCAACTTGGATATATTTAGCTAGTATATGTAACACAACACAAGCCTTCAAATAAAGTCCCACATGTATTGGCTTTTTAAAGTGAGACACAAACAAAAGCCTTTCAAGACGAAGAGCAACAAGGCTTCTTCGCGTTTGAATCAGAAGTAGCAGCAACATCAATTGTTTGGCCTTCCTTGACGTTGGCATTTGCAGTTGCCTGGTCTGAAGATATCGATTTCTTGCTGATGATCCTGTAAATCTCCGAGAGAATCGTCTGAAAAGCTTTCTCTACGTTTAATGCCTCAAGGGCCGATGTCTCAATGAAAGATAAGCCTTCTTTCTCTGCATAGCTCTGAGCATCCTCTGTAGCAACTGCTCTAAGATGCTTCAGATCTGTCTTGTTTCCAATCAACATGATCACTATGTTGGAATCAGCATGGTCTCTGAGTTCTTTTAACCACCTGCTTACATTCTCAAAGGTTGTTGGCTTAGTGACATCATAGACCAAAAGAGCTCCAAGTGCACCTCTGTAGTAGGCGCTTGTTATGGCTCTGTAGCGTTCTTGCCCAGCAGTGTCCCATATCTGAGCTTTCACAGTCCTTCCTTCCACCTTAGAACAAAGATCATGGTTTTCCCAAGAGGTTAAATAACGAGCAGCAGCAAATGCGTAAAGAATACACTGATAAAATTAGCAAACTTGCAGCCAAATTCCACAACCAACCCAGAAACAAAACTCGAGACTGCGAAACAACAACCATGATTCTTCTTCATACTTTATTATCAAATTTTACATTTTTCATTGTCTAATTAGAGAAGTAAAATTGTGATATAGATCAATGTCAGTATTTACTATGAAGAGATTCTTAGATCTGCCTTCAACAAGGTTTTAGATCTGACATTGTGAGGCAGCCTCAGGCTATACTAGCCAAACGCTAATACCATAGTACAAGAAGCTTGGTATCATTATCAACAAAAACGCACTAAATAATCAGATTGCAAAGCACAGAAAGTAAACATCAAAATTCAAAACCAATACCAAATGTTCCTACACACACAATTGGCTGCTTCCGAGTATTTCGAAAACATCTTAAACACATGAACGGGAAATGAATACAAAGAAGATAGACATAGAAAATGACCACACAAACGGATCGAACCACAAAGCAACCCAAAAATTAAAGGACAAGTCCATCCCGAAACTTACAAGTAATCCTAGATCGAGAAACAACTGAGATTTACACGAAAGATAAAGAGAGATGAGTAGACATACTTGGAGAGTACGAGTAGCGAATTCGACGCCGATGGTGGATTTGGATTCTAAGCAGAACTCATTGCGAGTGAATCTAGAGAGGAGATTTGACTTGCCGACACCGGAGTCTCCGATCAAAACCACTTTAAACAAGTAGTCGTATTCTTCATCCGGTCTTCTCGCCATTGTTACACTTTTTCCGAGAATAGCTATCGATTTGGGATTTTGAAAAAGCCAAGAAGAGAAGGAGAAAGAAGAATGAAATTAATAAGTTTCTTAGATATATAATAATTTATTAATTTATTATCGAGTTCTCGAGTTTGGGCTTAAAAACTTCAAAAAAGGCTAAATCTATACGAATTCGCGTTATAGTATAGATTTATGGCATCTTACATTTTCTCTATATTAATCATAGCCTAAGCACCACCATTGAAAAAAAGTTGTTACAAATGTCGAATATGATCAGTAACTTTTGTAGAAGAGCCGAGACAAAACAAAAAATTGTATTCAAACTTTTCACGTAACCGACGATAGTCAATACAATAATTAGATTCAAAATGAAAGCGTTATGAAACAAATGCGTCAAACACCAAAAAAGAAAGATGTAGACCGAAACGAACTTCAATGAATAGGGAATACCGGAATAGGATTTTGACAATAACTGGAAAAGTAATAAGAGAGCTTAACCGGAAAATAAAACAAAATCAGAATTAAAACCGAGCCAAACCAGAGGAATGCACTTGTACATTTTAAAAACCCTAGTTCATATATCATCTCGTCAACACTCCTTTATAGCTCTCTCCGCCTCATATCTTTGCTTCTTCTCTCGATTTGCTCTCTCGGAAGATTTTCCCAACGCCTGGTAAGATGCGTCGATCTTTTATCTCTAATCAGCTCATATTCATATGCATGATCGTATCAATTGCGAGCTCACTGCTTGATGTTTCCCTTGGAACCAGATCCGATTTCAAAACCCCGGAGTTGGTATATTTTCCGTCTGAGCAATGGCTTTGGTGAGTTCTCTATGACTCTCTCTTGTTACGATCTCATCTTTGTACTGATATGTTGCTACATTGATTGTAGTAATCCTAGGGTCTAAGTCGTCGAAAGAATTGTTTATATACCAATTTGATTAAAATTAAGCTAGTTTGGATATCTAGCTGATGTTTACTAGTGTTATGTTTTTGATGTGGGATACATACATATCTAGCTGAGAATGAACGATCAGTTATGCTGATAAATTGCGATTGCAGGTCTTGCACACGTACAAGGGAAACAAAAGTGCTGATAAGGCACTCATTGCAGCAGAGTACGTTGGTGTACAGATCGATGTGCCCTCTGACTTTGAGATGGGTGTCACTAACAAAACCCCCGAGTTCCTTAAAATGAACCCTATTGGAAAGGTTTGTCAATACTGCTGGTTGCTTAATTCCTGGAATAGATATTAGTCTATTTCCAGCTAACCAAAAGCGATCTGATCTTGCTAGGTTCCTGTTCTTGAGACTCCGGAGGGATCAGTATTTGAGAGCAACGCCATTGCCCGTTATGGTAATCTATTCATATCTTTATCCTTCATTTGTCTCTCCATATCTAGTTTAATTGCTTGTCGGTTATAATGATTCTTTTGATATCCCATGGCAGTAAGCCGATTGAATGGTGAGAAGAACTCTTTAAACGGTTCTTCCCTGATTGAATATGTAAGTATCTGCTTTTCTCTGGGGTTACTCTTCTCTTATCCATTTGCACCTCCTCTATTGTTTGTCAACCTATTTGTTAGTATTGTCAATAATTATCTGCATGTATCTTTTTGCAGGCACAAATTGAGCAATGGAGCGATTTCTCATCATTGGAAATCTATGGAAACATCTTGAGATGGTTTGGCCCAAGAATGGGGTTTATGCCATACAATGCTTCGGTAAGCTTTTGTGATGGCAATCTATGTACTCTAATCACTATATAAATACTACACCTGTTTTTCTCACCCCTGATTGTTATACAAATGAAGGCTGAGGAAGGGACTATCTCTGCGTTGAAGAGAGCACTTGATGCTCTTAACACACATCTCGCCTCCAACACTTACCTCGTTGGACACTCTATTACCCTTGCTGATATTATTACTGTCTGCAACTTGAACTTGGGATTTGCTACTGTCATGACCAAGAAATTTACCTCTGAATTCCCACACGTTGAGAGATACTTCTGGACCGTGATTAACCAACCCAACTTCAAGAAAGTGGTGGGTGATGTCAAACAGACTGAAGCTGTCCCTCCTGTTGCTTCCAAGAAAGCTGCCCAGCCGGCCAAACCCAAGGAAGAGCCTAAGAAAAAGGAAGCCCCCCCAGCAGAGGCCCCTAAGCTTGCTGAAGAGGAAGAGGCACCAAAGCCTAAAGCCAAGAACCCTCTTGACCTTCTACCACCAAGCCCAATGGTACTGGATGATTGGAAGAGGCTGTACTCAAACACCAAATCTAACTTCCGTGAGGTTGCTATTAAAGGTGTGTAGTGATATCTTCCCTTGGTTTTAAACTTGCTATAAGGAAGTGCAAGGAATTATTGAGCTATTAGAATCAAATTTGCATCATTATGTCTAATATTGTGGCTCAAATGCAGGATTCTGGGACATGTATGACCCAGAGGGATACTCGCTATGGTTCTGTGACTACAAGTACAACGATGAGAACATGGTGTCATTCGTCACGCTCAACAAGGTAGGTGGGTTCCTTCAGCGCATGGACTTGGCACGTAAATACGCCTTTGGAAAGATGCTGATTTGCGGGTCAGAGGGTCCATTCAAGGTGAAGGGTTTATGGATATTCCGTGGACCAGAGATCCCTAAGTTCATAATGGATGAGGTGTACGACATGGAGCTGTACGAGTGGACTAAGGTTGATATCTCAGATGAAGCACAGAAGGAGCGTGTTAGCCAGATGATTGAAGATGCAGAGCCATTTGAAGGTGAGGCTCTCTTGGACGCCAAGTGCTTCAAGTGAAAAGAGAGAATGGTTGGGTTTTGCAGTCGAGGCTTACATATATCTCTCTTATCTTCTCCTTAGGGATTTTGCTCTGTGACTTGCGTCGCTTATACTGTTTTTCTCTCTTTCTAATTGAGTGTTATAGACAAGCTATGATCTTTTTGGTTCTTTTGTTAATGTTTCATGTGTTTTTTTTTCTTGCTGTGCCATAAAGACCAGCTTTAAAAAATGTAGACCTGGTAATTTCGAAGTTCTGTTCCGCGTAGTGTTGAGTCTACCCTGGCGATAGGCAAAAACTGTTCTGGTTTATCGGCTTCGACGCGTTTCGGTCAAATTCTGTGCATTGTTTGTCTTCGTGCTAAACATTAGGTCAAGTCTTTTGACATATTGGGCAAGTGTTGCCAATTAAAAAAATTGTTGAAGAAGGAAACTTTTGAAGAATAAGTCGTAGTTAATTTTGTAGATATGACATGTTAATTTTTTTTTTTTGGTGATAATATGACATGTTAATTATTTTGTTCTTAAAATTTTCTTCAGGTCATTTGTATAAGTTATTCACTCTAGAATTAAAAATAACAGTTAAAAATTAAAAATTAAAGGTATATCATCATCAATTAATTACATAATTCATTAAAGTTGGTCTCAGACAAAAATGAATTGTTCTTTACTACAAGGCATATAATCTCTGTAATTGTTTTATTTTCAACATCAAAAGAGTTGTTCGTTCTACCAGAAGAATTTGTTCTTTGCCGCAGCAAAAGATCGATCCGTCCTTGTTGGTTTCAAGCGAAGTTTATCGATAGCCAAGTACAGGAGCAGAGAGAGAGAGAGAGAGAGAGAGAGAGAGAGATGAGAGAGAGCTCTGCAAGTGGTCTATCATGGCGGCGTTTGATATTCTTCGCTTCGATTGGTTTGCAGTTCGTCTTAGGTTCGTCTTCTTCAGATCTATCTGATTTCATCCTCAAATCAATTTTTCTGTGTCGGTTTTGTAGAATCATCGGATTTTTATGTTCGTTTGGGGATTTAGGTTTCGAATTCGCGAGATTTATGTCAATTTTAGCTCAACTCGGCTCTTCCCTAGATTTCGTGTGCATAGAGCTCTTTTGCGATTCGGAAGCAAGTCAATTTCCCTGTTGATTTAGATCTTCGCCACACAGTTGCTAAACTTTGTGCTTAAAACATACTTAATTAAGCAAAGAAGATTGTACTGTTCAATTTCATGGCTTTGGTTTCTATGGTTTTTATGTGGCCAATAGTTGTGTTACCTTGTCCTAGATGCGAAACCATGTTCCTGATTTGAAGAGTTTGTCTTTGCGTTTCATTTCTTGTAACTACCACAATGGTATTTGTATAATTCATCTATAGATTCAGGGTGATGCCGCATTTGAGTTGTGAGACATGTATTACCAGTTTTTGGTAAAAGTCATTGAATCTCGTTGCTCTCTCTAGTTTCAAAGAAGTAGGCTAATGCGTATCCCGTAAATTCTGTAAATGCTTGTTGCAGTTGATCTTGTTCTATGTTGTCCATGTGTGTAGTTGTTGCTCCTCTTTAGTCGAAGATAAGAAACATGCTATCTATGTTGAGGATATATTGTGTAGCTTACTTACAACTGCTCTTGAGGGTACAAACCTAAAAATTTCGTTAAATTCTTAGATGTCATCTACTAAATCTTCTGATATGGTATTTGCAGGCCTATCAGGTGATTCCAAGAATACGAATGCAGAGTCTCGTTCTTCTTCAAGCAAAACAGGCACAAAAGTAATCCTCGTACTAGTCGGATTTGTGGTTGTGGCTATGTTCTCGTTCTTCTTGTACAAGCTATGGCAGAAGAAGAAAAGAGATGAGCAGTATGCTCGTCTGTTGAAGCTGTTTGAGGAAGATGATGAACTGGAGGTTGAATTAGGTCTTCGAGATTAAACACGCAACTTCGTCAACAAAGGCCTCATGTATGTTTGTGTTCGTTTGTCTGGTCATGTAGGTGGAACTTATGGGCATTTAAATTTGAAGTATATATATATGCACACTTTGATGGGTAACTGATCTAGCTGTCTTGTCACTGATCATCATCAATTCTTCATTACACTCTCTAGACGATTGTTTTCGGTTTGGAAATAAACCTATGAAACTTGTGGAATTCTCTACTTGTTTAGCTTTATTAGGTCCAATTTTGTACAACTAAATTTTCTATCTTGAGAGGGGATTCCTGCAACCTTGCTCTTCTTTTGGGATAGAGCAAATATACATTAGTTAATTAGTTAGAACCCAAGGGAACATGTATAAAAAAAAATTGGCATGGTGAAGTATACAAAACTTATGGTGAGCAGTTTCAAAGAAAGTCAAAACCAGAGGCTAATAGAGAGAGTGAGTTAAGTGAAGAAAATTTAAAACATAGAAATGAAATTAATCTTGGGTTTCAAACTTAAATAAAGGTTACATGATTAAAAACGATATTACATTTCATAAACACCATTTATTAGTTTATTACCGACTGGTTAATGGTCATCTCAACTAACCAACAAAATTTTCAAAAATAAAGAATAAACTTAATGACAAAATAAATTAATTGAGTCGTCCAAACTCCAAACGTTAGAACTTAGAATATCATCACCTCCGCGGATAGATGCATAGAGAACCTTTTGCCCGCCCCACACGACCATAGCATAGTTTCTGTCCCAAGCAGAGAAAAAGAAACATTGATCATCTTTCAGGTCAAAGCCTTATTGTCCAGTCTTAGCACGCTTGCTGTTGAAAGGTGACATGCTTGGACTCAGACAAGGGCTCAAGCTCGGACTCGGACTCTCCTCCCTTAGTGTACCATTCAGAGCAGCTAACTCCTTCAGCTGTTCCCTCTTGTAGTGATCCATTGATTCGTCCTGTAGACAGAAGATCAAAACCATGTGAACATAAGGTTTGGAGTAACATAACCATATAGATATGTTTGCAATTTTGTGATGGTAATGTACCATTGGCTTTAGGAGTGATTCGAGGAAATGCACTGCATGCTCCAATCGAGAGTTTATTATGTCCTCTGGAAGCTCGGCTTCGATCAGTACATGTAGTGGCTCACAGAGATGCTCATACCCTGGCTTACCTTTTAGTTTTTCCTCCTGCATGGTGGAAGTAACAAACGAAATAAATAAGCCTTGACACCTTATGGTATAGTAAGTAATGTATGGATAATATATAAAAAACTCAGAAGAAATGAATTTCAGTTTTGAAACAGAGCTTTCTCTATTTACACTTCTAAAGATGTTAGTTGATACAAAACCTAAAACTCAAACACTTCATTTCATGTACAGGCTTCCAAATTCTAAATATCTTCAAAGAGTGGGAGCTGATGATGCAGCCAAAAACGTATCATTACTTCAACAATAAATTGCTATGCTAAAAGACAGTGGCGTGCAAACAAATTGCTCCTAACGACCGTAAGAAAATTCTGCGTATTCAACACATGCCTATAATACTGATTGATAGGTAAAAAACAAATGAGACAAAGTGAAGTTTTGAACTGTAAGAAGTCATCTATACTTGGGTTAAAACATTTAACAAATGGAATCTTCAGGGAATCAATAAGCAAAAGCCAAACCTTGACAGTATCCTTCACAGATCCTCGCCCTCTAATAAACACCCTGCAGTGGGTTGCTAGCTCAACTCTTTTTAGGGAGTTTCCACGTGGCCCAAGAATCCGCCCAACAAAATTATACTGCAACGTTCAATGAATATTAACTCTATAACAACCCAATAATAATAACATATTTGGGTAACTATTTAAAACTTACGCTTGGATATTTATCCACTGGCACATCAAGTCTAATAACTCTTTTCACAATGGGTGGGTTAGGGAGTCCAGGCATCCCAACCCAGCCCACAGAGGCAGGAGCACGAAATGGAGAAGCTCTCTGGAGGTGACAGTTTTCCTGAAGAAAGCAAAAGCAATCAATATTAAACATAAATCTATTAGCAGCACCATCATAATTCAAAATGAGTCAGTTATCTGACTACAAATACCAGCAGTGGCTTACCTCCGCTTGCATCATTGACCATCCTTCTAAATCAAGCTTTCCATTTGTCGGTTGGCCAAGAGATCTAAATGGACTGCCATGCTCAAATCTATCGAGGTCAGGAAAACTGGAGACTCTCCTGATTTCTGCACAGACGACAGCAAAGCATGCAATTAAGCAAATGTATAAAAGAAACTGTAACAGTTGCACCAATCACTTGTTCACCCCAGAAATCTCTTAATTTAGTGTTCCACACACTCAAGGAAATACTTAATTCAAAAGCATATAGGTTTATAAGACAGCCCACCTTGATTTAGCAGTCTGAGGCAATTTGGCATAACTTGCAAAAAGGGACCCAACTTTTGTCTCTCTTGCAATAACTCAGTCAGGTACCTGAATAAGGTTTAAAACAAAAAACAATAAGTTTCACCGGATGCTGCATTGGTGTGTATTGAAACTATCGAGTGGTTCACATTTGAGTCACCATGAAAAACTAAACTTCCAAAAATACATCTGTAAGTGCATTTCTAAAACATTTGAAACTTTATAGCTTTCTTCTTAAAAACCTTCGAGTACATTGTTTAGAATCTAGTAACAAGTGAGCGAGAGGAACAACTTGTGAAAAAGGCGACATTTTGAAGTGAGACCATCATTGAGAAGTTGGATCTGCGTGAACAGAATCATTCTATCGATACTAAACCAATCAAAGGGAGCAATACCCAACAATAAAAAACACGCACACACTTCATTTTCAAGTAAAGCAGCAAGTCCACAAGAAACCGATCCACAACAACCAATCTAATTTCGTCCACAGAAAAAAAAAAAAAAAAGAAGAAGAAGAAGAAGAAGCTCACACAGATTCACATTAGCGAAAAATAGAAGTTGAGAAAAGGGAAACCTTTCACGATCAGTGGGAGGGCAAGGGGATCGATTGGGAGAAGCACGGAATCCAGAGAGAGGATACTGGAAGAAACTACCAGGAGAGATCCTCTCCTCCATGGCCGTGAAACCAGCGCCGGATTCCATCATCTCTACACAGTCTGCAAAATCCACTCAGATTGTTAAGTAAGAAGCGCAATAAGTAGAATAGAGGGAAAGGGAGAAGACTGACCGGGGAGATAGTGAAGAGAAGATGCGGCGGAGGATCTGACGCCGATCTCAAGGTCGAGAAACGTGTATTGAACTGGGTAAGAAGTAGGTGTGGACTGTAGGAGTGGCCACAGCAAAGAGAAGAAGAAGAAGGAAGAAGGAAGAAGTAGGCAAAGTAGGGAAGGGAGTCAAAAGCCCTACGCACGATGAGAGAGTCTCTCTCTCCTCTCTCTCTCTCTCTCACCGCATTTTCGATATTTTCTATTTTTGTCTTTGTTTCCTTCTTTATTCTTTTTTAGATATTGTGTGATCTTATTACGGTTTTTGCGTTTCGATAATACTTGGGCCTTCGGCCACTATTAATGGGCCTTCCCTCCTTAAACTTGAGGCCTTTTAGATAGGGCCGGTGGTGCCTTGCACAACTCTGTGTTGGCGGATACATCTTTGAATAACAAATACGTATTTTTTAATCATTACATGCCCAAATGCTAAAATAAAATTAGTCAAATAAATTTACCTATAACAATAGTCGAGACGATTTATAGTGTTGTCAACATCCGTATTCTTGACCGTAAATGAATTGTTTAATGAAGACTTTGGATGGAAAAGAGTTTGTCACAACAAACGTTTTAAATTAAAAAGGGGTCAGGGGGAATAACATCGTCTTGGTGGTATTTAAAAATTAAAAAATAAATAAAAGAAAAGATGTTTGTGGTACGTAAAAACTTTTTTTTTTTTTTTTTTTTTGCTAACTTGTAAATATCATATAAGATGAAAAGAAGGTAATACATAGTTTTACCTACACATAGAGTAATCTTGGCAAAAAAGAATAAAAACAAGATTACAATACTTATAGAAAGTAATAGAGAAAGCACAAACTAACGCATCCAAAGAAGCATTAGCTTCCTCCATCTCTTCCTGTGACGTCGGCCCGAGATGATGTTTCGAATCTCCCTATCGATGGTTCTGAAAGTGACCCAAGGAGGAAGAGCTTGGTTGTTGTGAAGAACGTTGTTCCTTTGTTTCCACACATGGAAGACATAAGATTGGACCGCAACTTTTCTCAAAGTGGTACGTAAAAACTTGAACACGGATATACTTACTCCCTCTTTTCATTTTAAGTATATTTTATAAAACAATGTTGTATATATGTGACTCCACACGTTAGAGAAAATTGGAGAGACTAATATTTGTTTTGGGATGTTTGTGTCGTCAGGGGGTAAAGGGTAACCCCCAACGAATTCAAGAGCCATATTTTCTAACGCTTAAATCAGTAGAGAGGCTTTCTTATGTCATTCGTGACTCGGATTTGACAGTTGGTCGGATAAAATTTCAAAGCTTAAAGATCGGAGCCATTTTTTACAAACGCTATTTCTGTTTCTATATATATTATAAGAGCAGCTGACTATCATAAAATACTTTGAATACATACTTAAACGTTACTTATATGTTATTAGTCACATTGATTTTGGTTGCTCTTCCAATACCAGTCAATAGGTATTCCCGGTTTGACGGAATGAAAAGAAAACCCATCGTTTCTCAAGTCTCTCCTTCTCGTTTAAGATAAGATAAGACGACGACTTCGACTTGTCAATGAAATATAGCTGTCATAATATAGGATCGACACATTCATCCTATCTTTTAATTTGTGGGTTGAATGAGTATATTGGCTATGGCAAAAGTTTTAATATAACTTAATTACCTTATACAAAACTCTTAAATTAACATACATATAACTATCTTTTCTATATACAAAACGATAAAAAATATTTATATAGAATTTAAAATACTTCTTGTAACGGTAAAAATTGTTTTCTTTTATAAGGGTGTATTCAAAATAGTTATTTAAGAGATTTGAGTTTTATTGAGTTTTAAAATGATTTTGATGATTTTAGGAAAGTTCATATGACTTTTGTAAAAAAATTTCAAATCTCACCAAAAAACTATGTGATTTAGATTTATATATTTTTAAATTAGGAAATTCTTTCAAAACTTCTCAAATCTTTCGAAATCATTAAAAACCAAATACATAAATTGTTTTAAGTAACGGT